TTAACTTTATCTCGAGAGTATAAATCGAGAATAATGAAATATTTGAAGTGTTAGTTTTTGCAATGAGAATAACTTCCTCATTAACTATAACAAAAATTGCAATTAATATTATTTTGCAGTGCCAACTGAGGCATTCCATTTAATTAGGTCACTACTGATAAGGTTGTTGTCATTCATTCCGTCCAAATATATTGCTGCGGGGGGTTAATGCCTCTTTTAATTGAAACATAATTCTCATTGAATGATATCATTATCATTATTATCACTATTATTATCATCATTATCACTATTATTTTTATTAATATTATTATTATTAAATTATTATCGCATTGACTAAATTATTCATTGATATAAATATCCATCTACTAATTTAATATCTCCTTAATTTTCTTCATATTTTCCATTTTCATTTTATTTCCTCACAACTATTTATCATATATCTTATTTACTTTTTAATACTTTATACTCTACTCTACTCTACTTTACTTTACTCAACTCTATTCATTATTACTCTTTCACTGATAACATGGTTCCTCTTTTTTCTTCACTTTTATTATGTTTACTAAATAGCTTAACTTTATAAGTACTTTTCATTTCAATACTTTACACAGTTTGAGTTACTCTTTCTCATCTATTTTACTTCTCGTTACTAAGCAGCGGTAACTTGGCAGTCTCAGCAGATTAATTAACTAAATTTACTCCATTTCAGATGTTAGTTATATGCCCATTTTCGTAAATCATTTTGCAAATTATTTTCACCACCCACTCATCTTGAACATACCTTATTAAAATAAATGGAAGAATGTCTTTGGCAGTCATATTTTTGCTTCTTTTCATTTATTTATTCATTCGTTTTTTTATTTTACTTTTTTCTCTTTTTTCTTCTTCTTTGTTCCAATGGGAAATATTTGAATAAAGCAATTTCAGTCAGTTTTTTTATAATTGAATTGATTGATAATTCTTGATGGAATATATGAGACATACAAAGAAATATCTCATTTTAATCTTTCACAGAATCAACGTCATTCTTTTGACAATTCTAATGCTTAAATGGAATTCTCCAATCTCATCTGTCACACTTGTTGAAGTATATTTGAATATATTTGATAAAATGAAATAATTAAAAATCCTTTTTATCATATCAGAATTAGTGATAATTAGTGACAAATTTTTTATCAAATCACAACTAGCTATATTGGTTTCATTTCAAAATTGATTATCATCAAACTATAAAACGTTCAGTGATATTTTGGGTGAGCTAAGCATGACTTAGTCTAACCATTTGAGTTCTAAAAATCTTTCCTGAAATATCGATTTGCAAATTGTTTGTTCTTAAATTTCACTTTAGCATTTATGTCCATTTTATTGTCTTCCATTAAGCCATGTTCTCAGAATCTACGTCTGATATATTTTGCTCTAAGCGTCACGCATAATTATTGATGTAACCGCAGAAGCGCATATGACGTAGTTGCATATCTGTGTCATAAAGTAAAGTTGATAAGTCTGCAAAGCTTAATGAAGCATTTTTTTTTTTCAATGCAGAAATAAAAACCTTATTTTTTCTTTGAATTGCAAGGAAATGTTGTCACTTTCTAAAAGTATTCAGGGTTGACATCATTGAAAGAATGAATTATACTAAGATAAGATGCTGATGACAATTGTCACAGCTAATAGTGAATTGCTGATTGTTATTGCTATTTTGCTCAAATCTCTTGCCTCTTTTTATGAACCAGTTTCAATAATGAATTTAAAATATTTAATGAAATAATAGGATGAAGAGAAGAGAGGAATGAGTGATAAAATCATTCTTAGGAATACCAATTAAAGCATAAAATATCAATATTTACCTTTCTATTCAATTAAAATTTTAAATATAGTACAATTAGATGAGACAAATATTAGAGGGCAAATATATTCCTTTGGAAGCATTAATTAGACTAAGAAATTATCAGGCTAAAACTAGAACTAGGCTAAAATTAGACCCTAAAACCAGGCTAAAATTGAATAATTTAGTGCGCTAAATGAAATGTTTTTTCACAGATTACAATTAATTTACGTTCTATTATTAATATTTTACATCAAAATCGGTTATTTCTACCTTATTTCATTACTAATAAGCGTATTTTTATTACGGTACTTTTTGTAAATTTAAAATATTTAATTTGAAATAGCAATTCTGATATCACAATGCCTCAGGGATTCATCCTTCTCTCACTCAAAGTTTTATTTCGTTTCGTTAGACTTCAAATTTCCATTAAACCACATAAAATGATAGTAGTAACTTAAAATTGGAAATGAACTGAAAAAACTTAATTGATTGAATATTTTTAACTAATAAATTATTGTTGACCAATCTTTCGTATCCTTTAGAGTAGATTTAGTCTATCTAATTATCATTTATGCTCGTCCAAATTTTAACCTTTTGAAATTTCGTTGCAATTTTAAAAATTCTAAGAAATATTGTTTGATGAAAATTCTGACCTCATTTTACCGATTCAATATGTTTTAGAACATTCTGTTTGGTTAATTAACTAATTAAAATTTAACACTCTTCCAGCATATTCTGAAGATTGATTCATTGTCTAAATACAATATACATCGAGAAAGTTAATTAAAAATTGTTGAAAGATTAAAAAATTCTCGACTATTTCACATCTCAGAAAAGGTATCTGACCCTGAAGAAACTGCAAAATGACTTTCAACTATAATTTAGATAGCTAAGCTTTTCTTCTAAACTTTATTTTACAATTTGTTAAATTTCATTTTAACTTTTAAATATTTCAAATATTTCATTCAGCAATGAAAAACTTAGTCCTAGAATGAGTTAATGTTTTACTTTAAGTGTTGTATAATTAGATGTGAAATTGAAATAGTACCTAGCAGATAAATTATTTCAACTATAATTTAGATAGCTAAGATTGCAAGATGAAAACATTTACTAAACTATAATTTTATGAATCAATGAAAACATTCATCATTTTATTTGCATATTATCAATTTTTTGTTTTTTTATTACAAAAATAATTAAAATTCTTCATCCATAATTTATTTTAAGTATATTTCTCTCCTTTATATGATACTTAATTTCCTCTTTGATAATGTGATAGTGTTTTATTGATATGATAACATTTTATACACTTAAATTAACTTACTGTTAAAAAAATGCAAAAAAAAAATACACAATTTAATTTCATAAATTTAATTTTGATAAGATTTAATTTCACCATCATTTCATCTTTTATTGTGATTGAGGAAAAAAAAATGAACTTTATAGTGGTTGATTTAGAGTTAAAGAGAATTTCCAATAAACTAAATGAATTCTTTTAAATTCTCATTTGAATTTTAGAAATGCAATAAGCTTCTGCAAAGAAATAAGAATAGTCTTTGATTTCTATTTTATTCATTTAAAATTTGCATTAATCTGAATACCAAATTCTTTACATCTTTCACTAATATTTCCTGAAAAATTTACATTACTAAAATTTCTTTTCTTTGACATTAATATTTCTTTTTTATAAAAAGTATATTAAATGAATCAGTTTTATTATGTTACAAAAAATAAATTTCCGGTAGAATTGTTCACTGATATAGCTGTCAGCTAATAAATATTTCCGGTTTTTTTTTTTTTTTTTCCTTCTTGCAAATTTGAAAACTTACGCATTTTAATTGTTTACTTATGAAAAGATTGGGTAAATTTTGCTTGCTATTTGATTTCTAGTTCGTATGAAATAGTATAATCAAACAACTTTACAAATGTTACTTCGCATTTATAAAAAAATAAAATCAATATGCTTAATTGTATTTTTCGTAAACAATATTCACTCTAATAGTTAGTAACTAATTTGGCATAACATTATTGATTTTAGAAAATAATATGTTATATTTGCATTTACTTTTAGCTAATAATATTAGGAATTTGAATTTTTTTTTTTTTTTTATAATGTTTTATATTGATGCCAAGATTTATTTGAATTCTTTAAGTTATCTATTGTTTACATTTCTTTTCTTTATTTACTATTTACTTTAATGAAAGGATCAAAAGTTATGCTTAATTGTATGCTAAATTATTATCTCACAAGTACTTACCGCAAGTAATTTTTTTCTTTTCAAGAGTGTAATTGTGTTGAGATGAAAATTGGAATCAAAATTAAAGTAAGCTTTCCTCAGGATGACTCACCCAAAATAAGCTACCCTCAGGATGACTCACCCAAAATAAGCTACCCTCAGGATGACTCACCCAAAATAAGCTACCCTCAGGATGACTCACTTCTGCACATAAGTGATTAACTCAAACATTCCTAACAGTTATCACTTTAAAATGCATAAAATCAAATAAAATCATTACTATATACTTTCGTATTTCTTTCCTCGAAAAATCGATTATTCTTAAAATGATTATCGATTATTCTAATTATTATCGATTATTTTGAATTTGTGTTAAACAAAATCAGATTATAGTTTTTTTTTTTCGAAATAAAAGAAAAATTTTATGATTTCACACATATTGAAATCATTGTTTTTTTTTTCTAATTAAATCTTTGTAATTAAATAATTTGCATAAAGAAAAACAAAATTCATTTAGAAAAAAATTTTCGAAAATTTTTGAAACATTTATTATGAAATGAATTTCATATATGTGAAAGAATTTTTATTTTACAAAAACTTATAAAATAGCTTTTTTTCTTTTTTTTTAAATTGCACAAATTTTGAATATTATGAAAAAATATTTTTCTACAAATAATTTCAATTATTCCATTGTCCAATTATTCTATCAATTGATTGGTATTATTTGATAAGATTTTACTTTCATTTTGTTATCACAAATTTAAACCATCTGTTTAGCTTCTTCATTTTCTCTTTCTATTTATCCAATTTTTTTCTTTTTCTTTCTCAAAATTAACTATTTATCAGTGTTAAATTCAATTTTGAACAAATTTGTAGGATTGAAAACGAATTTTGAAGGAGAAAAAAAAAAAAAAAAAAGTTAATTATATTGGGAAATGCCATTAGCACCACAATGTGATATTCCATGGGATAACAACAATCTGCTTTGTAATACAAACAAAATTGATGATGTAAGTTAAAATTTTTTTTATAAAAGAAATTATTTCTAACCCTTTTTTACATTATATTTATTTTTGTAAACATTAAATTAATACTTTTTATTTATTTGAATTTGTTATGGAAAACATTTTAACACGTTGCTTTTCACGTTGCTACAAAATAATTGACGTAATATTTTCAGGAATTTTATTATATTTCGTCTAAGTTAGCATTTCCTTTACTAAAATTAATATTTTTTTTTTCCTTTCTAATTTAAAATAACAGAAATGATTTTCTTCATATATCCATTTTTGCTATTCTTTTTTTTTTTTTTTTTACAAAATTTGTTTACTATATCTGTCGCTTTAAATGTTTATCTGATATGATATGATAGAGGTATTAAGCAATGTTGAAACATATGTATCCTAGTAATTTTGTTTAAACGATGAAAATGTTATAATTTTTTTAGTGACCTAAAACTCATAAATAATTTTCCATATACTCATAATGATCTAAAACCCATAATAGATGAGTTATTGAACTGATTACTATATTTTCGATTCTTTCTATTGTCCAATCACTAGGATACTTGCTAGGTGATATGATATGATAAGATATGATATAAGTATTAAATGATGTTAAAATATACTAATACTAATTAATTAACATTTGATATTTTGTAATTTAATCAAATGCTATGATTTTGATTTTTGATTTGAAAAGCTAGAATCAATGCACATTTCTATACAATATAATTTGATGAATAGAAAATGTCACATACATGTCGCATTCATTTAAATTCTATTTAAATAAATAATGATGACATCATTAAATATATTCCAATAGTTTAATCAAATATTTGCAAATTAGTTAAACTATACGATTGAAAAATTACAATTTTTATCATTTTGCATCTTTTATTTGTTTAATAGAATTTAAATTAAATTAATATTGGCTGAATGATTTAATTTAATTTAATTTAATTATCAATCAATCTATAGTACTTACTTATTAATTTTACTTATTAATTATTGCATTATTTAATGAGCTATAAAGTAAAGTAAAGTAATTTTTAGCTCAAATATAATATTAGCTGCAAATTGTTTTATCAAATAAAATTTTGCAGCATTATTCATCAGAGAACGATTCGGATGTGTCATTGTCAACAGCAATCGATACTGCAACTGTTAGCAACGCTACAACAAAAGCAAAAGCTATGACATCCGAAATTGAAATTACTGAAATTGCAAAAGAGGGTGAAAAAGCAGATCCATCACAATTCGAATTATTATCTATGATTGGACAAGTAAGTCTGTAATTTTTTTATAAGGTAAAAATTTACAGATAATTAATTCTTTATTGTTTATCATTTAAGATACCTGAAATAATTACTTACTTTTTTTTGTTTTTGTTGTTGTCATTTTTGATAAAAAAAAAAAAAAAAAATATTTACTTCTTTGTTGTCATTTAATGACTTTTATCATTCATTCTTCTCCTATTTGATCACTATTCGATCAATAATGATCATATAAAATTAATCATAGCTTGAAATCACTATGGAAAGGACACATCGTTCTTTGTTGACAGATAAACATTTGTTTGTTTGTTTTAATTTAACAGCAAGATTAGTAGGATGAAGCAGTTTGACAATTGACATTGAAATTTCTTTGTACTTTAAGGGTTCATTTGGTAAAGTATTACTTGTAAAAAAAATACATGGACGTGATACTGGACAATTATTTGCTATGAAAATTTTAAAAAAAGCTACTCTAAAAGGTATTTCTTTTCTTTTATATATATATTTTTTTACTAAAAATATACAATTAATAGTGAGAAATTTGATGAATTTCATTAGCATAAATAAAATATATTAAAATGAATAAAAAAATAAACAATTATATAGTTTCAGAAAATTTCTAATTATTTTTAAATAAAATTTATTATAGTTCGTGATCGATATCGTACAAAAATGGAACGAGATATTTTAGCTCGATTTTGTCATCCATTTATTGTTCGACTTCATTATGGTAAAAAAAAAAAATAAATAATAATAAATTAAATTATCATAAAATTACTCTGATGATATTTTCCCAAAGTTATTAGTGCGAAATTAAAAAAAAAAAAAAAAGAAAAAAAATTTCAGTATCGGACTAATAACTGTTGGTTTTAATCTTTGATTAAATTATTTTTCATAAATAAAATTGATTAAATTTGCTTTTTCTTTTTTTTTTAAATTGCAGCATTTCAAACCGAAGGAAAATTATATCTAATTCTTGATTTCCTACCTGGCGGAGATCTTTTCAATCGTCTTTCCAAAGAAGTTAGTATTTTCTTTTTATCATTTCTACTTTTTTAATTTTCAAAATTTTAAACACAAATGTAAAACTTTTTGCTTCACTGAATTAAAAGATTAAAAAATTCATTCATATTAATTTTAAAAATTGTCAAAATGTTAGTAAATTACTTTAAATGATGCATCGATTGAATGGCATGTTAAAATTGAAGATTTATTAATGTTATCATTAATTATCACTGCTGCTATCATCGTAATATTATCATATCATTCTGATTTTATTTACAAAAAAAGCAATTCTCTCTCTCTCCCTCTCTCTCTCTTTCTTTCAATTATTTATAAACTTTTTGTTTTGCTATTTTCTCATTGCAATTTATTTTACTCTGTGAACTTTTTTTCATTTCATGGAACGAATTTTCCATCTTTCCCGGCTTTATTGATGATGAAAGGGAATTAATTCATTGTTTAGATTATGTTTACCGAAGATGATGTCAAATTTTATCTAGCAGAGATTGCATTAGCTCTTGGACATTTGCATTCGTTAGGTATTGCATACAGAGATTTAAAACCGGAAAAGTAAGCTAATAAGTTAATTTTTTTTTAGTTTTAAAGAATTTCAATTATTTTAAATGCATTCAATTTATGCTCTTTATTTAATGTGAAACATTTTTTGCATTATTTTATAATAAATTCTAATATTTCATTTTAGTTATTCAACTTTCACTGTATTCATTCTTAATTTTTGATTAATACTATTTTGAAATTAGAAATTTTATACTACTTTGAATGAAACTATAATTTTGTTCTTTGTTCAGATAATTCAGGTATGATAATTGCTAATGAGAGCAGGTATACAATAGATGTAGGATATCTATCAAATTTATCATTTTTTGGCATTTTTTATGAATTGCACTTGTACATCTGTGAAAAATTCATTTAGTAGTAAAAGTTGTTCTCGAATTATTCTCGAAGTATTTTATCGAACAATTTAGGATATTTCTTTTCCAATATCTAATTTTTGAATTTTCTTTTTTCCCAAATTTATAATTTATCACATATTTCTAGTGTTTTATTAGACGCCGATGGACATATTAATTTGACGGATTTTGGTTTATCAAAAGAATCGGTTGAAAAAAATGGAAAAACGTATAGTTTTTGTGGTACCGTAGAATATATGGCACCAGAGGTGGTCAATCGACGTGGACATACGGTTGCTGCCGATTGGTGGAGTTTTGGTGTTCTCATGGTAATAATGATATATTTGAAAATTTTTATATCTGAAAGTTTGCAATTTTTATTGGAATATTAAGTTTGAAAAATTTACAAAATGCAAAATTTGATTTTAACAAATAGAAAAGTTTGTATAAATTAGTATTTATTGATAATTTTGTTTTAAATAAGATATATTTTTTCAAATAAAATTAATTTCATTTTTTTTTTTCTTTAGTATGAAATGTTAACTGGTGATCTACCATTTCATGGTAGCAATCGTCGAGAAACAATGTCAATGATTTTACGGTAAAATTTATTTCAACAAATAGATATTTGCAAAAAGTATTAAAATTTTGAAAGGACATTTTAATCTATTAAACAAAGTGTAGTTAATTCTATCATTAATTATTAGAAATGTTAATACTATCATTAAATTAATTATTTGAAATGTTAATACTATCATTAAATTAATTATTTGAAATGTTAATACTATTATTAAATTAATTATTTGAAATGTTAATACTATCATTAAATTAATTATTTGAAATGTTAATACTATCATTAAATTAATCATTTGAAATGTTAATACTATCATTAAATTAATTATTTGAAATGTTAATACTATCATTAAATTAATCATTTGAAATGTTAATACTATCATTAAATTAATTATTTGAAATGTTAATACTATCATTAAATTAATCATTTGAAATGTTAATACTATCATTAAATTAATCATTTGAAATGTTAATACTATCATTAAATTAATTATTTGAAATGTTAATACTATCATTAAATTAATTATTTGAAATGTTAATACTATCATTAAATTAATTATTTGAAATGTTAATACTATCATTAAATTAATCATTTGAAATGTTAATACTATCATTAAATTAATTATTTGAAATGTTAATACTATCATTAAATTAATCATTTGAAATGTTAATACTATCATTAAATTAATTATTTGAAATGTTAATACTATCATTAAATTAATCATTTGAAATGTTAATACTATCATTAAATTAATCATTTGAAATGTTAATACTATCATTAAATTAATTATTTGAAATGTTAATACTATCATTAAATTAATCATTTGAAATGTTAATACTATCATTAAATTAATTATTTGAAATGTTAATACTATCATTAAATTAATCATTTGAAATGTTAATACTATCATTAAATTAATTATTTGAAATGTTAATACTATCATTAAATTAATCATTTGAAATGTTAATACTATCATTAAATTAATTATTTGAAATGTTAATACTATCATTAAATTAATCATTTGAAATGTTAATACTATCATTAAATTAATTATTTGAAATGTTAATACTATCATTAAATTAATTATTTGAAATGTTAATACTATCATTAAATTAATTATTTGAAATGTTAATACTATCATTAAATTAATTATTTGAAATGTTAATACTATCATTAAATTAATTATTTGAAATGTTAATACTATCATTAAATTAATCATTTGAAATGTTAATACTATCATTAAATTAATTATTTGAAATGTTAATACTATCATTAAATTAATCATTTGAAATGTTAATACTATCATTAAATTAATCATTTGAAATGTTAATACTATCATTAAATTAATTATTTGAAATGTTAATACTATCATTAAATTAATTATTTGAAATGTTAATACTATCATTAAATTAATTATTTGAAATGTTAATACTATCATTAAATTAATTATTTGAAATGTTAATACTATCATTAAATTAATTCTATTATCTAAAATAGTACGATTAATTCTTTCTTTATTTTTTCTATTCTTTTTTAAAAATAATAATAAAAAAAAAAAAAATTCTAGAGCAAAATTAACAATGCCACAATCATTATCAGTTGAAGCGCAACAATTACTACGAGCGCTTTTTAAGCGCAATCCGACAAATCGTTTAGGTTGTTCAAATGATGATGTGAAATCGATTAAATCACATCCATTTTTTGGTACAATTAATTGGGAGAAATTATATCGACGAGAAGTTCAGCCACCATTTAAACCATTGTGTACTCCAAGTAATCATACACGTTGCTTTGATTCAGAATTTACAAAGAAAACACCGCATGGTTAGTTACTATAAGTATATTTATTGAAAGTATAAGTTTTTTTTATATATATAATTTTTAAATGTTTTTTTTTTTTTTTTTAAGTATAAATTAAAAAATTTTAGGTATAATTTTATATGACTAATTTTTGATTAATCAATTTTAAGATCCTTTTTTTTTTTTGATATGTTAAGATACATTTTTAAATTTGTTATGACTAATTTTTGATTAATCAATTTTAAGATTCTTTTTTTTAAATATGTTAAGATATAATTCTTAAATTTGTTATGACTAATTGTTGATTAATAGATTTAAAAATTTTTTTTCAAATGTATTAGGATATAATTTTTTTAAAATCTATGATGACTAATTGTTAATCAAATAATTTTAAGATTCTTTATTTTTTCAATGTGTTAGATTATAATTTTTAACTTTTTTATGATTAATTGTTGATTAATAGATTAAAAAAAAATTTTTTTTTTTAAATGTATTAGGATATAATTTTTAGATTTGTAAGAATCATAATTAATCACATTTTTTTTTTAAAAATTTAAAATTTTTGACTAATCAAAAGATTTATTTTTTAGGCATTTTTTTTTTATACATATATATTTTATAATTAAACAAACTTATTGTTTAACTTTTTCAAGCATCTAATTATTGTCCAATGTATTTAATATAAATTATTTCCTTTTTTATTTATTTTGTTTGAAATTCAAATTTAAAAAAATTTTTTTTATTAAAATTTAAAATTTCAATTTACAGATTCACCTGCTTTACCAGCATCTGCAACAGCTCATGAATTATTTCGTGGTTTTAGTTATGTTGCTCCATCTATTCTCACTAATGATAAGCCTAGTTTATCAATCAATGTTATCAGTTCACATCTTCAGGAAGCCGAGAAAGCATACATTTTCGATGAATACAACTTTAATGAAGTTAATAAATAACTTTTAAAATTGGAAACAAATTTAATTAAAGCAATTTTGAAATGCAAAAAATTTTGCAAATTTTGTTATTAACGAAATTCAAAGCAATTAATTTCATTTGTTAATTCTTTTTCCTAACTTTATTAATTCATAAATAATTTTGATAAATGTTTGAAAATTGCTAAAGAATGAAATAAAGTATTTGAAATTAACCTAGAAGTAGTTAGTGAAATTAACAAATTGAAATAATTAAACATTTTTAAGGATCTTGGAATTGGCTCATTTTCGATTTGTAAGAGATGTGTACATAAGAAATCAGGTGCTGAATTTGCTGTAAAGGTATATCTTTACTATATATTTTAATTTTAAATTTATGCTCACTCATTTTGAAATTTATATTAAATTTAATTTTAACTTTTATGCAATAATTTATTGTTATTGTAAAAAAAAAAAAAGTGAAATTATGTTTGGTATAAAACTAAAATGTAAGTAAATTTCACAAGAAAAAAGCTACTATTACTATTAATTTATGATAATATATGAGATAAATTATTTAATCATATCAAAATCATATTTAAATAATTTAAAAATAAAAAAAAGAAAAAGAAAAACTAGCACTAATATCAATCAATCTGAATATATTATAAGATAAAATTAAGAGTATAAGAAAAAAAAAACCTTTTTTGCATTTTTTTTTTTTTTTAAAGCAAAAAAACTTTAGAGCAAAAGTTTGTTTTGCTTTTTGTTTTTTGTTTTTGTTTTTGTTTTTCTTTTGTTTTTTGTTTTTCTTTTTTGGATAATTGACAAAAGCAGGCGAGATGCAGCAGAAGAGGTTGACATATTAAAACGTTACTCGCATCATCCAAATATTGTCAAATTGTTTGCTGTTTACGAGGATAGTATAAATGTTTATTTAATCGAAGAGTTATGTAAGGGTGGTGAATTATTAAGCAGAATTATGATGCTAAAGCATTTCTCGGAGAGAGAAGCTGCTGCTATAATGCTAAGACTTGCTAATGCTATCAGTTATTTACATTCAAATCAGGTTTGTTTTATTTGCATAAAAAAGATTTGAAAAAAAAAATTTTTTTTATATAAACTTATTAAATTTAATTAATTGTCTTTTTAATTTTGATATTTTTTCCTTTAATTTTAAAAAGATATGATAAAATTTTTAGAAAAAAAAGCAATTTCGTTTTTTTTTTTTTTTTTTTTTTTTTTTTTTATCAGAGATAATTATGTTTGTTTGTTTGTTTTTCTTTTTCTTCTGTTTATATTATTATACAATTTTGTTTATTAGCTAAGAATTTACTTTTTAATTTTGATATTTTTTCTTTTAATTTTAAAAATATATAATAAAATTTTTAGAAAAAAAAAAAAAAAAGAAATTCCCAAATTTAGAGATGATTATGTTTGTTATGCTTGTTTTAGGTAGTTCATCGTGATCTAAAACCATCAAATATAATGTATGCATCGAAGACAGCTGATCCGGATTCAATCAGGATAATTGATTTCGGATTTGCAAAACAGTTACGTGCTGAAAATGGTTTACTGATGACACCATGTTATACAGCACAATTTGTTGCACCGGAAATTTTAAGAAAGCAAGGATATGATATGAATTGTGATGTTTGGTCACTTGGAGTATTACTTTTTACTATGCTTAGTGGGTGAGAGATATATTTGATATATTTAATTACTTTATGAAAAATTTTTCCACTGATTATTTCAATTATCAGTTATTTGTTTAATTTAAAAACAAAATGACGAAGTAATCGTATTTGTCAATTTGTCAACATTTTACATTTGATATTCTTAAAAATATTTCATTATTATGCTATAGTTTTAATAACAAATTAGTTATTTATTAAAAAATTTAAAATTGAAAATTTTATTTAAAAAATAAATTTGTAACAATTCCTTAATTCTTAATCATTTATAATTTATAAACTGGAATGAAAAAGTGGAAGAAAAAAAAGAAAGTATTTATTTTAAAATTAAAATATTTTAATTTTTAGTGAAACACCATTTGCAACAAGTGAAAATGACTCACCACAAAAAATTCTGAAACGTGTCGGTGAAGGGAAATATTCATTGAATGGTCAAGCATGGATAAGCATTTCAGAACAAGCAAAAGATCTTGTTCAACAGCTTCTACATGCTGATCCATCTAAACGTCTTTCAGCTAAGCAAATTCTTATTCATCCATGGATTGTACATTTAAATTCATTACCAACAATACGTTTAAATTTTTTCAATGATCCATTCAAAGTAATGGTCAGTTCTTTTTTTTTTTTTCTTTTTTAATTTCAAAAAAAAGCGATATAACAGATGTAAATTAAATTAGAATTTATATAGAGTTTAAATCCGTAACTCTGTAAATTAGAGTCTAATAAATCGCAAGTTAGAGTTTAAATCCGTAACTCTGCAAATTAGAGTCTAATAAATCGCAAGTTAGAGTTTAAATCCGTAACTCTGTAAATTAGAGTCTAATAAATCGCAAGTTAGAGTTTAAATCCGTAACTCTGCAAATTAGAGTCTAATAAATCGCAAGTTAGAGTTTAAATCCGTAACTCTGTAAATTAGAGTCTAATAAATCGCAAGTTAGAGTTTAAATCCAATGCAAATTAGAGTCTAATAAATCGCAAGTTAGAGTTTAAATCCGTAACTCTGTAAATTAGAGTCTAAAAAGTGGTAAATTAGAGAATCGCAAGTTAAATCTAAACCTGTAGGTCTGTAAATTAGAGTCTAATAAATCAAAATATGCTAAACATTTCAAAACGATTTCTTTTCTTTTTTTTTTTTCTTGTAAAATGCAAATATAAGTTTTATGCTAAATTTTTAGCACAAAAATAGATTTGAATTGAATATTTTTTTTTTTAAATACATAATTTGATAAGCTAATTGTTCTCTTTCCTTAAAGGATGCATTAAACAAAACATATCGTGCATTAACGTGTACAACTACGTCAGTTCCGTTACGACCTGTTATTGAATCCGCTTTAGCACGTCGTCGACGTTTAAATCGAAGGAAAAGTATTACGGATGATAATGATGATATCATTAAAGTAGCTAATTCTGTAATTACCTAATGGATGTAATATTAAAAATGGTTAACAAATAAGTTAAAATTAAAATAAATTAACAAAATAACTTTTCTTTTTGTTTTTTGATGATAAAATTCAAAAAAATAAAATTATTAAATATTAATTGCATCAATATTGCTATTTGTTCAAATGCTCTATGCTTTTCAGATAAAATTTAAAAATTAAAAAAAAAAGAAATCGAATTAATATTTTTTTATATATTAATAGTTGGATGATATATCTTTACTATATTATTTAATGCTTATTGAAAAAGAAATATAAAAGTATAGAATTACTGTCAATTGTTGAAATGTAAATTTATGCGCTTTCTTTTTAACGACAATTGCGCAATTAATTTTGTTAAATGAATTCATTAATTTATATATGTGCAATATTTCAATTCTCAAGTTCTCCTTTTCTTTTCTTTTCTTTTGCTATTGTTTTTTTTTTTTTTTTTTAAAAAGAAATTATTATTCTTAATTTACATATCATTTAGTAATATTTTATATTAATTAATCTCATTATGTTACATTACTGATATTAATTGCTCAATGATAAATGTTTTTCATTTATTATATTACTTCTTTTCATCATTTTAACGATTAAAAAAAAAAAAAAAAATGAATCAATTAGATAATTAATTACAGAAAATAAAGAATGGTATTTCAGGGAAGAATGAATTAATGAATTGTTTCAGCTAATTAGAATCCTATAATTTGCTAGACTTTTCTTTAATTGTTGAAATGAAAAGGTAAATAATAAATGATAGGAAATAAGAAATAAATTGTGATAATATTGCCATCCTAATATTAAATGATTTAATTTCTGTGACAATTGTTGTTTTATTTAATAATTTATATCAACCTGTACAATTTGTATTTGTATGAGTAATTTTGAAATTTAATAAAAAAAAATTTCATTGATATCATTTAATAATCATAAAATAGTTTAATACCATCATGAATTTACCAACTTATCTGTTTTTATTTTTAATGTTTATTGTTGATGATAACATACAATTTTAGAATTTTAAGACTATAAATTGTTTTTTTTTTTTTTAATTCATTTTGGAAAATATCCCTTAATTATATTTAATTCATTATTGTTGCTTATAAAGAGCTTATCTGTTGCATAATAAAATGTATGAAATTTTTGCCGAGCATTTTTTATTGAAATTTTTGGTTAAAGAAAATGAATATTTTAATATGGCAGAGTTGAAAATTTAACTCATTCATTTATTTCATAATTAATTTATTTAATTTTACTAATAATAATAAAAAGAATAAAAAAGTATTTTACAGGAAAATGTTTTCATTTGAAGATATCTACTCTGCTGCTGATCGTATCAAGAATGTCATCCATGTGACACCAGTGATGACATCCAGTTACATTGATAGCTTGTGTGACATGAAAGTTTATTTCAAATGTGAACATCTCCAGAAGACTGGTTCATTCAAAGCACGTGGAGCATTGAATGCTGTACTTTTCTTATCAATCAGAATAATCATACACTTTTAATTTTGGTGATAAGTTATTTCAAAGTAATACCTAAAATTTAACAAAATTTCACTTTTGATAGTTAATGGAATGCGATGGAAGTAATTGATAACTGTTAAAGTATGATAAGATATGAGAAAATGAAAAAAAAATGGATTATTTTATGAAGTTTAATTCAAATTTGCTTTTTTTAAATTAGCACAAATTTAAGATTTCTTTTCGCCAACTTCATAAGCTTTTATTTTCATTATTTCATTATCTCATTATCTATTTATCATTAAACCATAGTGATAAGATAAAAGAGGAATGAAGTAATATGTCTTAATTATTGTCAGATTTTGTTGATAAGATTATTTGATAATTTCCTTCTTCCAAAGTTTGCTTATAGCTCTTACAAATAAGTGATAAATAGTACTTTTCGAATTTTTAATTTTTATATTTTGTAGAGTAATTTTTTGATAATATTAGTGTATTTAAGTGTTTATTGCAAACTCGGAAACCGGATTTTTTTTCTTCTCATATTTCTTTTATTTCAGATAAAGATTATTGTCAGTGATCCGGAAAATAAATCCTCATCTGTGGTCTGTTTGTTATTTTTATTTCTTTTAAAAACATTAATTTACTATTATTGCAAATGATGACAAGTTTCATAACAAAAGAAAAACATATACATTTACTCATACTTTTTTTTTAAATTTTGTCTTAAATTCAAGATTTCTCGACAAATTTTTTCAAATTTCTTCTTTTAGATTACTCATAGCAGTGGTAATTTTGGGCAAGCATTAGCTTGGGCAGCTAAAATTCATAATATTCCGTGTGTAGTTGTAGCACCAAATAATGCACCAATATCAAAACTTAATGCTATGAGAGATTATGGAGCAAATGTTGTACTATGTGAACCAAAAGATAGGTTAGAAATTATATATTTTCTAAAATTAGCAATCGAAAAAAAAAATTAATTTATAATTGTTAAAATTTGACAAAGTAGAATAAGCGCAAATGTACGCTAAAACAGCGCAAAGAGTGACAGTGGGAATATGAGAAATACTAAATTTCTTATTATCACATCGTTTAGGATTATTGAAAGTGATAAGAAAAAATTTGCATATCGAATTGTTGAGTTATCACTGAAAAAAAGAAAAAAATGGCGGCGCAATGAGTATTATCTTTTAGGGAATTTAAAAAATTAAAATTACTTTTATTGTGAATTAAATTTTGCTTTCGATTGTTTATTTGCATGATAATTAAGAGAAATGGTATGCAACAATCTTCGTGATACCGGATTGCATACTGAAATGGTTGATCCGTTTGATGATTACAGAGTGATGGCTGGACAGGTTATCAATCATTTTATTAAATAATTGAGGAAACTTTTTATGAATATTTTATTTTTAACAGCCTAACATTTTTTTTTAAATCTTCATTGGTTGAAGAAATAAAACATTGGAAATAATAATAGGTTGGAAAAATTTTATAATAAAAAATTTTATATATTACAAATTTTTGTACTTCATAAAAGTAAGCTATCCATTCAATCAGTCAAATTTGATATTTTAATCTTTTCTCTCTAACTAGATAAAATCAAATTTTAGTGATAATAATAAAATGTTATGTTTTATCTTATCAGTTAAATTTTTAAGAATCTTTGATGACACTAACTTATTTTATACTTTTAAAATTCTTTAATAATTATTTCAGGGAACAATAGCGATAGAATTCCTGGAGCAAATTCCTGATTTAGATGCTTTATTAGTAGCAGTTGGTGGTGGTGGTTTATGTTCCGGTATAGTTATAGCTGCTAAAAAAATTAAACCAACTATCAAAGGTTTAAATTTTTTTTTCTCATATCTTCGTTATCATACTTTTATCACTTTTTCATTCGTAATTTTGATTACGATTTTAGTATATTGTGTGGAACCGGAAGGAAAAAACTTGCAGCATTCATTGGATTCCAGTGTAAGATCATGGGATCCGGATGCAGGTCCCGTAAAAACAATTGCGGATGGAATTCGAGTTTTACGGATTGGTAAAAAATGCTTCCCACCTATTTTTGAAAAATGTGAAAGGAAAGTTCTTACTGTGGTAAGTTTTCATGTACAGAGTTAATTTAGAATCATTGTCATTTTTTTCATTTATTTATGAAATTAATTTAAATCCAAAAAAAAAAATTCTTTTTTAAATCTAATAAATTTAATTTAAATATTTTCTTTTCTAACTTGGAATCACTGTCATCATTTTAAATTTCATAAAAAGTTTACCATTTTTGTCTTTTGAAATTTCATTGATGATAATGATATTATTATTGTTATTTATTACTATTATTGTTATTATTTATTATTATTATTATTATTATTATTATTATTATTATTATTATTATTATTATTATTATTATTATTATTATTATTATTATTATTATTATTATTATTATTATGGCACATGCATTCTTGATATTACTATTCACTAAATTATTTGTTTTAAATATTTTATAAAATGATAGAGTAATAAGTTTTTTTCTTCTTTTGAAATAAGAATTATTTTAAAAAAGAATGAAAATATTTTATGAGACTTTTTTTTAGAATGATAATGAAATTATTCAAGCAATGAAATTAATTTATAGTAGAATGAAGGTAATTTTTTTTTTCTTATATTCATAAATTTCTTCCTTATTTTTATTGACACTTTTTTCAGTTTTAGTGAAAATTAATCAAATGTTTCGTAAAGTGAAACGTAAAATGAAATTTAAAATAAATTTAAGCAAGCAATCGAGCCTACAGGCGCAGTTTCACTGGCGGCATTAATCAAATATAAGAATGAATTAAGTGATCAAAATCTAAAAAATATAGGTGTCATATTTTGTGGTGGTAATATTGATCTACAAAGATTATCATCTTTTTTCTAAACAAAAAAAAAAAAAAAAAATTATTATTTTAGTTTAATGCTTTTCTTTTTTTATTTTTTTGAATGTTTTTTTTTATATTAAAATGTTATATGATATATTTCATAAAATGAAGTACAAATTATTGTTTCCAATATTAATCAAATTAAACTCTTTTTTTTCTTCTTTGCTAGTAGTTATAAATTTGAAGATCATAGTTACACTTTATTTTTTAAATTTGTTTATGTTTATTTTGTTCTGTTTTAAAAATTATTTAAATTATGTACGTTCATCGAAGAGTATTTAAAGTGTAATAGTTATTCACAATAGTCAATTATAAATTGTAAAGTTTCAATATATTAGCTGTAATTTTAATAAAATGTAAACGCAAATTTTTTACACATTTCTTCCTTTTTCCTATTGTATTAAAAAATATATTTAAAATATTGATTATTAAATTCTTATGCATATCATTTTAAAAAAAAAATATAATATCAAAGTAAGAATAAATATGGCAGTGAATTAGGAAAAAAAAAAAGAATAATAAATGAATTAATAATAAAAAGTTAATAATAAATGAATAAAACGACAAAAAGTTGAATGAGAGGAAACTATTTCGATTGGATAAATAAAATGAAAATATAAAAATGATTGAAACGATTTTATCCAATTTTGTTTTTTTTTTTTTTTTTTTTATTAATATAAATTGATAAAAATTTATACTATTAATAGCTATTTTCGGTGAAAAGTCTTAGTTTTTTTTTTACCATTTTACTATATACCATATTTGTTGATCATAATATTATCGAATAAATTTCAAATGACATTTGAAAATATGCAAAGACAATTATTTAATTTAAAAATGGACAACCATCAGGTAGCACTTTATTCAACTTTTTGGCATCTTTGAAAGCCATTACTTTTCCGTAAAATTGGAGATCACGATAGCAACCAATCAATGATAGTACACCAATTTTAGAAGTTGATGATGCTGTAACAGTAAGATATTATTTAAAGAGCAAAAATGCTACAACAATAAGATACTAGTATATTAATTGCAAAAAAAAAAAATCAATTCTGATTGGAAAAATTAAAGATAATTTTTTCTTTTTCACTAATAAAAATGAATTATGTATGAGATTAAGTAATAGATGAGAACAAACCAGTTACTCCACCAATATAAATTGGCAAATTTCGGAAAAATTCTATCAATTCTGAACTCATCTTTAACTGTAAACGTTTTCGATGCTGAAATTTATTATTGTTAAATTGTTAAATTTATTGCTATCTAATTTATTACTGTTTAATTCATCTCAAAAATTAATTTTTCAATCTAAGACTTTTAAAAGTTTGAAATTTTAAAAGTAAAATTACATTATGTTACTTTTGTAAATAATTAACATAAAAAATTCGAGAACATACTCCATCAACAGTGATAACAATTATATTTGAATGTGATATAGAAAGAGTAACATTGTGCCAACTACCATCACATAAATCTTTTTTAAAAATATGCTTTAGTTCATGATGTTCATTGTTGTAGACCAGTTCGAATGTCACCTGAAATATATAGTTATTCCAGAAGCCGGAACCATTAAAACCGGATTCTAATGTTTCAAATTAAAGATATACAAATTTGAGCAAAAAAAAAAAAAAAAAAAAACTTTCATTTATAAATTATATATAAAAATAAAATAAGAATAATTAGTCTAAAAAAGAAAACAACCATAATTCTTTTAAATCATTTTACATTTCTTGTTGAACTAACACATTATACGAAGATTTTAAATAATTTTTAGTTTTTTTTTTTTTTTTTTTTTCGTAGTTTTTAATAATCTTTGGTTATTGCTTAACATTATAATATCGAATAAATAAAAAATAAACAAATAAATAAAAACAACCAAGCTATTTTTAAGGTAAACAGCAATTCGTGCATTTTCTGGATCTTTATTTGTCATTAAACCGAAGATAAATCCATCTTTTACAGCAGGTCGAAATTGCACCGAAATTTGAATATTTCCAAATTGTCGAATAGACTTTAATGATCCTGTAATAAGTAAATTCCTAAACTTTAATTTATAACTTTCATTTATTACAATTTTGCATAATGTTTATTAGAATTTAAAGTTAAAGCTTAGAGTACACAACAGTCTGTTTATTTTCTAATAGATAATGAGATGGTAAACAATTGAAACGTCAACAAGAGATAATGAGACGTAAACAAACTGTTAGCCATAATTTAAAAATAGTTCTCAGTCACGTGAAAATTTAAGACTTTATCTAATACTTTTTCTAGCATTCTATATTGCTGATGAATGTAATATTTGAAGGTAACGTACCAAACGTCATATAACCGCCTTCGTGAACGTACGCAGAATTAGAATTGACGCATGGCACAACGTGACGACTTTTCGCGAATAGATCCTGTTGAATGTCGTTTACTTCAAAATTTCTGAAAGAAAATTGTATACAAATGCTCTTTTATGTCAAATTATTTAACACTCATTGTAAGTTAATTTATTCACAGTTCAAGTTCAAAGTTCAACTATTATCATTAATTTATCAGTAAGTTTCTCCCTTTTAATTCATCTTAAATTATTCAAATTCAGAAGAAATTTACTTTGCATATTACACGTTTAAAAAAAAGTAAAAAACTTTTATGAATACTAAATAAAGTTAATTCCATTTTCAATTAAGAAAATTATAAGAAACAAAAAAAAAAGTAAACCTAATGCATCCAGAAAATGAGGGTACTGTTAAATTAAACTGTTTTCGATGTTTTGAAATAACTCCACCTATGTACATTCGTTTACGGATCAGTTTCGGATTTGACACATCTTTCAAGTATTGTGCCGGATTGCGATCAACCTTGAATAATTCAATTCTTTTTATTTATTATCGTATATTTAATTAATAAATAAGAGCACATTTTGATAAATGGAATAAACAATTTTTTTTTTTTTCTTTTTTTTTTTTTTTGGGAAGGATTTGTTGTAAGGTAGAAAATATGGAATAGATATTATGAAAAGAAAATTTGAAATAGAAATTTGGAAAATTAAATGAATACTGGAAGAGAGATACCTTGAGAAGAATTTCTTGTCCTTTTTTTAACATATTAATATCATGCCATTGTCCATCATTTAATTTATTTGATTTATAAAACAGAATTTTTGGTTCCTTACGTCCACGCACCTAAAAATTTTTATTTCTTCAATAATTTTATTCATCTCTCTTTTAAAGTCTAATTAGTTTAATTAGTGAAATACTAAAATGCTGTATGTAATGAATTCATACCTGAAATTGTAGTAATCCATTGATTAAATTTAGGAAGAAATAACGAGTATAATTATTGTAATTAGCCCAAATCCATAACATTCCGTTTGGTAATATTGTGCGGAATGCAAATTTAATTTTGAATCTTAAAATATTTCAAAATACAAAACTTTTAAATAAGTCATTTTATATTAAAAATACTATTTAAGAAAATCTTTTCGTTTTTGCTCTTTCAGTAAATATTTGCCAAAGAGTTTACTTCTTTTTTGGACCAAAATCTGTTAAAATAATTCCATAATATTTGTGGAATTATTCTAAAATCACAATTAAACTTTCAATAGCTAAAATTATTTGTAAGATAAACTTACTGATTGATATCTAAATTATCAGAACTTATTGATTAATTTCTAAATTATCAAAACTTACTGATTGATATCTAAATTATCAAAACTTACTGATTGATATCTAAATTATCAAAACTTACTGATTGGTATCTAAATCATCATCCTCAAAGTTTAATTTAGAATGACTTGCTTCCGCTATTCCATATCGTGCCGCACCTTCACCATCATTCTTAGCTAACAAATTTGAACCGCACTGTAATTTTTTTTTTTTTTTTTAATTTGAAATTTCAACAATTGATGTAAAAGAAATCAGTAAATTTACGCTATCATTTTAAAACTTTTAAATAATTCATTTTGTACTGAAAATGTTTTTGAAAAAAAATCTTTCCGTTTTTGCCATTTCAGTAAATATTTGTTAAAGAGTTTACTTTTTTTGGACCAAAATCTGTTAAAGTTGAGAAATAAGTAGTACTATCGTCATCATCATCATTTTTTCTTTCCGCTGATCCGATTAGATTTCCGGTAGTAGGAATAACATTGAATGTTGTAGCATCTATTGCTACTATGGATTGTTCCAAATTATTTGATTCTAATTCTTCCGGATCATTAATAGCTTCTCTGATATTCACCGGATTTGCTTTCACTGATCCTGCATTTTCAAGAATTTCACTCAAACAATTTCATGTGCAATTCTCTTCATGCAATAAAATAATAAATGTTTGTAATTTTTAAATATTAATGGTGATTAGTTGAATTAGATGAGCGCAAAGCGAAGTTATTTTAGTTAATAATATGAAATATTATGTGAAAAAAAAAAATGTTAAAATAGAATGATAACTGTAAAATAATATATGAAAATTTGTAAAAGAAGCAAAACAATGAAGACATATCCGCACAGAAGCGCTATTGTCGGGGGTGTTAAATATTTCATTTCCTATTTTCTATCACAGCATGCGACGACACTTACTTACTTGATATTATCTGATAAAGTAAGTCATAAGAAAAAGTAATTTTGACTTTACGTACAATTATTTGCCATCATCTATACTTTGCTAATTTCAATTTCAGCAAATTATCTAACAGAATTTAAATGAATGATCAAATTCACTGAATTTTTCTGTTATCAGTGATAAGCCTATCCATTCTATCTATCACTGATATCATTAAAGTATCAATGATTTCTGTTAACATATAATAAAGTGATAAAGTGCAAAAATAGTTTACAATAGATAGTGCATCGTGCATTATCTAACAGATAATCATTTTATCATATCACTATCATATCACTATTATTACCATCCGCATAGAGACGTTCTGTTTTGCTGATCAATGTCGGCTCTGTTAGATGCAATGAAAGTTTCGATGCTTTTTGATTGAAAGCATTTTGTTCGTCAGCTTGCAATGCTTCCACATCTGTTCGCCGTTCTACAGAAAATTCGACAAATACAAAAATTTAGTGTAAATAATAATAATTAATTTCTATCGGATGAAAATAATAGCAGTAAAAGTTATACTGTAAAGATGAAAATTATTTAAATTTAATGTTTATTTTAATCAATGTATGATTTTTTTTTTTTGGTTTTAATAAATTCTGAAAGTATTTGAAATAGCAATAAAAATAAATAATTTCATTTGAAGCAAAAAGAGGAATTGAAATGAAATTAATTAAGTATGAATGCGATAAAAGCAAACGAAAAGCTTTGCTACATCTAATTGAGTTACTTTTTTTAAAGATAAAAAATTCATAAAAGTGTGAAAGAACATAATTATAATTTTTTTTTTTTTTTCAGTGGGTCATTCCAATTGATTTTTCACAATTCAAAACATTTGATAATATTTTAAAATAATTTGATAAAAAAATTTGAGAATAATTCAAAGTAGGAATCCATAGAATAATGCCATGAGTTAAATATAAACATATAATTAAAGTTTAATTAGGTTTATTACCTGATTTTTGTAATGAGAAAATTTGTTCTACTGGACAGGTACCAATTAACGCAATGTGTGCTTCCGGTATAATTGGGACAAGTCTGGAATTGATTTTGCGAGAGATTAGTGATAAATAATTCTTGTTGCAAAAAAAAAAAAAAAAGTAAACATAAACAAATATTATTATCATTTTTTGCTCATTCAAAATAAATTTCACATAATTTGAAATCAATATTGATCACTTCAAATAGTACACTTTTTCTCATATAAATGATATATATTTAGTAATATATATTATTAAAATAATAAAAAAGAATGTACGTTTAGATTGTGATATTATCAATGATAACATTTATCACTAATTCTAATTCATTCATTCAAAGTTCACTTTCAAAAGAGTAATCTAAACTAACCGATAATCAATGAAAATATTTGATACACAACCAATCATTGATTCAGCAATTGGCATTTCATTAGCTGATGGTTTTATACCATCTGGAAATCCACCAATGAATAACTGTGATGAAGCGGTTCCAATGGTATTCTGCTCACCAAGGGTACCAGATGCTACCTCTCGATCATCTACTCGAAGTCGAACTCTACATAAACAATCATTTTATTTATTAACTTTTATCATTTTTCTAAGTTTAACACTTGTCTATGATAGTTTGTGAGATGCATATGACATTGTGATCAATGTTATCATTTATCTCTTCTTCTCTCTTATCATTATCTTCCTGTTATCAAAACTTGGATACAGTGGTACACTACCAGTTGAAATTTTTCTCATTCATAGCAAAGCTATAAAATTTTTAGTTAATCTATTTGAATTTAATTCAAAATGAATAATTTGAAACTAACAATGTTTCAAAACGAGTGAAAAAGATAGAATGAAGTTGCCCATCGTTGTAGGTAGTCTCAGATCTTAATGTGAGCACTTTACTTTTCTGTGATGAATCGGTACCAAGATGTACAACCAAATAACCACGGTAGAGATAAAATGCCAGATATCCCTGATTTATTAATTTAAATCAAAAAGGAAAAAGAAAAGAAAGAAAGAATTGAATTTTTAAACTTCATTAAAAATATTGACAAAATTACATAAATTATTTTTTAATCAAAAAACAATCAAAATGATTTTAGATCAAAAACAAAAAAAAAAAAACTAACCGTTCCAATAGAATCTCTAATTTTTCGACGTCTTCTGAAAGTTTCCAGTTCGCTCGACTGGAATAACAATGTAGCATTGGCGGTCTTTGTGCGGAATGCAAATGCAAATCTGAAAAGATTTAAAGAAAGTAATACTTTTTTTTTTCTTTTTAATGCTATATTTAGCTCAGTAATCTGTTTATTTGTTAAAAATTTCAGCTTTTTAATATAATAATATTTAAAAAAAAAAAAATGATTTAAACATAAAAAATATATAAAAAAACAATTTTAATATAAAAAAAAAAATTTGCAATAAATAATTTTAGTAAAATAAACAAACGTGGAATTATTGCTAAGTTGAATTCCTTGAACGACCAAATAACCTGGACGATTGAAGCTAACCACTCTATCAGTTGGTTCCAATCTTTCACCATTTCTGAAAGTACATCCACGTAGCTTACGTTGTGAACGTATTGGATTGTCGAGATCCAATTCTGCAACCTGAAATTGAACGACATTTAAATTTAAATGTATCTGAATTTCTACATCTCTTCAAAAAATGTTGGCAAAATTAAAAATAATCAAAGTATTGACGCATATATGGACTGGAATTTTATGGGAATTATTAAAGTCCATTATGCATTTTTTCTTCGTTACTTTTAAATTCGAAAAGTAAGAGATCAAAAGTTTTGAATTCATTAGTAATAAGCAAATAGAAGAAAGTTAATTTGCAAAAAAAAAAAAAAAAAAAAGAAAAAATAGAACAAAATAAAAAAATACTTGAGAAGGTCGAACTGATTGAATGCAGCCAAAAAATTCATTCCAATGAATGTCGAAATTGCGGAACGCAGTAGTATTGAAACCTGGCGGAATGCCGCCAACAAAGTGATCATCACCGTTAATATTCAGTTTTGCATTTTCACCAGGTATTGTTGCGGAATTACGATCGCTTTCGTCATCCACCTGAAATTTGTTTGATGCAATTTCACAAGAATTATATATTTCAAAAATTTTATACCCTTTTTAATATTTTGCTAGAATTAACATAAAATTTGACAAGATTGTTGATCAAAATTAATCATTTAACTATTACAACAATATTTTATTTACTACTTATTTTACAAGTATTTCTCTTGAATTTGAACTATAGAAATTAAAAAAAAAAAAAAAAAAAAACCTGTAAATGTATTTTATCATAATTCCTAATGACACGAACAGTATGTGAGCGTCCATCAGCATATGATGATTTTTTAGACTTAACAAGTGCATAAGAATCATCGCCAAGATTGATCTAAATATCATTCATAAATTTTCTCGTATAAAAAAAGTTTTATTTTTTTTTTAATTAAATTATATAAATTTTGATTAACATAACACCTGATAATGCAAAAAAGTAGAATTCAATAAAGCCTAGTGATATCACATGAGTAACACTGATATAAATTTCTTATCATGCAAATGCAATTTTGAGTCACTGATATGAAATTTTATTAAGATAAATTTTTGAATAATGAAGGAGTAGAGGAAGATAAAATGGTAAGAAATAAGAGTACCCTGAAGACGACATGTCCTTCACGAAGTTCCAAACAAACAAAATCTCCATTTTCCTGATTGCCACGGAAGTATATTAGACCATTTGGTGAATAAGCTGATAAGATCACTGTTATTTGCGCACCACTTGGTCGTTCGGTTGAAGGAAGATGAATTTGCGCAAAACCATCCCTAAAAAATTGATTAGAATTGTTTTTTATGATAATGAAATTATTATTATCACATTATGTTGGAGAAATGTTGTAAATGAATTTTCAAATAGAAAAAAACTTGCCGGAAAAAATAACCGGTAGCCTGACTTTCCGGTGCAGCAAAATCTCCTTCACAAACTCTAGTACTTTCTGCAAACGCCCAAAGCGGCAAAGTTTCACCATCAACAGTAAATTCACCAATGGTACCCAGGAACTTGTTAGTTGCTAAACCTAAATCCTGTGAAAGTTTTGCTTCAATACCAAATTGAATCAGTGTTTCACCATGTACCGTATTGAAAATGATGCTGTCATCCTCGTCCGGTTGACCTACCGAAACGGTAGTCGGTTCACCAACCGTTCGTTCACCTTCACCACTTATTGTATGATGAAGTGCTACAGTCAGTGTTACCGAATTGCCAAATCTGAAAAGTAGAGCTTAAAAAGTAGAGCATAAAGCTTACTTTTTTCTCAATAATAGTTTTTCTTTATTAAACTACATGCCAAAATAATTAATTCATGCTATCCGTCTGCGGAAACGGAAGACAAACGGAACAAGTCTGTCATTTGCTATATTCAGCTTACCTTTCTAATACTATATGGTACCAGGCAGTACGATCACTTGGTGCAATATAATTAATAGTATGTGTATTGGTAGCCATACGTATACCGGAACCGATATTCCAGTGCACAACAATACGTCGATCTCTTAATTCCATTGCAATGTACTCTGATTGCTGAGTGCGTTTAGTTTTGGTTTTTGTTAGGAATAGTAACGAATCCGGAACATTCCGCAAAGGACGATATTTAATGGTGAATAAGTTAGTTGGAGCCAAATGTGCGGGTGAAATAAAAGCGCGGCGGCAATCACCCTTTTCATCAGATTTCATCGAAATTTGAATCTGTAATAAAATAAACAATTTGCAAATTTATTTATTTCGACTTTTTCATCCATTTTTTAAAAAAATGTTAACAATAAATATTTGAAAATAGTAAATTTTGAAAAAAAAATAACAAATTGAAACTAATAATTTTCCAATATTATTTGCATAAGTGTTCAAAATAATAAAAAATAAAGTAATTGTCATAAGTTTCTACCATTAAAGATTACAATATCGAACTAATTGATATTCATTAAAAAAATAATAATATAATATTACTTACGCGTGATGCCTTCTCTCGTGCTTCTTTAATTTTTTCCTGTAATAATTTAATTTGTTCACCCAAAACATTAATTCGTTTCGAATCGCTGTCTGTTTGCTTTTTCACTTCAGAAACTTTTTTCATCGCTTCCTGTGCTCCTTGATTAGCTTTGCGTACTAAAATTCATACAATTAATTATTTGAAACATTTATGCCAATAATTAATAATCTGAAATGTCACCAAAGCGAGTGATTAGCTACTTGAAATAAATGAAATCTTAAGATTTGAACATCTGATAAGGACATAAAATGAATTTAAACTGCAATTTTCAGCAATTTTCATAAATCGAAATGTTATTGAAATATACAGCATTATAAGAAAGTTTTTATAATTTTTAAAGAATTTAGAAAATAATCGATTATTAATTTCTGTACTTTTAGATAACACACAGTTTCCTTCATTACTTTCATAAGTTTCGTTTTTTTTTTTTTTTTTTTTTTTTTTTTTTCAAATTTTAGAATAATTTAATTAACCGTCATTAGTGACATTCCGGATGCCTTGTCCAGCAAAGCCTTTCAGTTTCGAAACAGCATCGCTCATTGTAGCAATTTCGACCGATATTTCTTGCATTTTCTGATGTACATTTTTGGCTCGTTTTTCCGCATCATCAACCACACTAATCAATCCGGTCATTCGATCATGTTGATCATCGAATGACTGATATTGCTCACCTGAATTTCAAATTATGATTGGGAAAATAGATGATGGCAAATAAGTTACCTCAAAAAGCTGATAATTGGCAATTAAAACTTCTGATAGAAATTTTTACTTTAACTTCATCCTTACTTTAACTTTATTCTTTAATTCTTTTAATTGATAAAAGTATGGAACTTTCAAATGATGGTCCAAGCTTACTTATTCCTATTTTTCGTTTCATTGAATTTTGCAATGTTTCCTTCAGTTCATTTAGATCCATATTGGCTGTCAAACGTTCCTTCTCCAAATCTTTTAAGCCAAGTTCATCTGCTTCTTCCTTAATATCCATACTGCGATTCTTGGCCTGTAATGCCATATTAACCATTGAGATATCAGATTTTGGATCCGCATCAATATATGCAAATTCCGCAGCTTTCTTTGCTCCTTCCGCTGCTTCACTAGCATTCCGTAACGCATCAAGAATTTCTTTGTAAGCATTTGATGCACGAACAGGATCTGCTGCGGCATCTTTTGTATCCGCAAAAGAACTAAAAAATAAAAATAATAATAATAATTAGACTTCATAAATGTATGTTATTTATACAAAACGAAATAATTCTACAAAGACTTATCAACTTTTTACTTTTTCAATTTTTGCGCTTCATCTTCCAGTGCTGCAGCGTGATGTTCACTTTTTTCTACATATTCTTCGTGATATGCATCCAAAAGTTGACCATATTTGTCCGCTTCATCGCGACATTTTCTCGTCATCTCATCTACTTGTGGTAGTACTGTTTCATTGATAAGCTGATAACAAAAAGTATTCGAGTATATGATAATGGAAAAAATTAAAAACAATTATTTAAGTATTTGATAATGGAATAAAAAAAAAAAAAAACTCGAAAAGTTATAGAATAACTTTTTGAGTTTCACATCCAATAATCAAAGAAGATATTAGATTAAAAAAAATTTTTTTTTTTTTGAATAGATAAAATGGTTCAGTTTTTCAATTGCTATATAAATAAATTATTGAAAATTATATTAATTATCTGAAAAGAATGATATTTAATTTTCTCAATCATACATTTTGTTCAATTACATTAGTGTGATTTTAAAAAATAAATTATGAGCAAAAACCTTGAAATCATCGAACATAGCCAAAATTTTTTCTGCTTTTGCAATTGATACTTTATTTTCTGCTTCGCTTAATTCATCCGTTGCTTTAGCTAATAATTCTGTGATATTTGCTTTCACGTCATTAAATCGATTTACACGTTTCGCTACTATAATTGCTACTTTATCGGATGATACGGTATCCTGACGTGCTCTATCCCAAATTGTATCTCGATAATCGTGTAACCATTGTTCAAATGCATCCAGTTGTTTACGTAACTCAACAAATGAGGTATCATTTAGCATACGTGATGTTATCAACTTCATTAAATTTTGAGATTTCCTGAAAATATTCTGCTATTCAGGTATATCCTATAAATGAAAAGAAATACCTATTAAAATTATATTAATTACTAGAAAAGATTCAAAAAATGAAAAAAAAAAAAATCAATAATCTGAAGAGATTTTTTTTTCTCAAATAAATTCATTTAGGACAATAATATTTCATTGCTTTTTAAATGATATAACAAGCTTTTCTTTAAGTATTATTGATAAGTAAGCAGAAAAAAAAATTTTTGAAATTTCAGTAAAACTAACTCGAAATCGGTCTTTCCACGATTGTAACGTTTTTCAATGTAAATTCCACGTTCCTTCATTGCATTTACATGGATATTTGCTTCCTGAATCAAAATACCAATCTTTGAGCTATCCTGTTTTCCAAATCCGTAATTGATATAATTTCGTAGTTGACCGACAACTTCATGAAGGATTTCTTCCTGTTCTCGAGCTCTCTCAGATAATTTTTCAGTTTTAGCTATGCTCTTTTGTAAGGTATTTTTTGACTTATTAGTTCGTTCTAGCAAAAATTTCGTCTGCTCAACCAATCCATTAACTTCATCTAAGAAGTTATCATCAATGTTAAGGCTACTTTTAGTTGTATCATCATCAATCGAACTTTCCAACTGTAATGATTCCAAAGTTAAATGCAAACCTGAAATAAACATTTTTGCTAATTGTTTTCATTTATGACAAATAGTTTGATTTATCTTTAAACAGGGATTAAAGATTAAAATTGGACTTTTTATGATAATTTATGACAGTTATATTTATAACTTTTATGATAAATAAAATTAGTCCTTTTATGAATTTTATATTTTAGCATCAAATAATTGTAATAAATTAAAGAGATTAAAATAAAAAGATGCATTACTTTTTGTTGTATTACTTATTCGAGCAGCACGCTTCCATGGTATTGGTCTTAAATTTGTAAAATTTTGTTGTCTCATAATTTCTTCTAAATCATCCATTTCTTTCATTAAATCACGAGTACAACCTTGATCACATGATGTACATATACCATTCATGAATGCATGTCGTTCTTTGCATAATGAGCAATCACGACCTGATAAACCTGGACGACATTCACATTGACCTGTCTCCTAAAACAATTAAAAAATTACAACAGAAACTGATTACCAAAATTATCATTTAATTTACATAAAATAAGAAATATTTTTCAAATATTAACAAACAAACAAACAAACTGATTTTATTTTCAAGAATAGAAAAAAAAAAAAAAAAAAAAAAAAAGGATTTGTTTACCTGATTACAAATTCCATGAATTGAGCCATGCTGATGACAAGCACATTCATTACACATACCACCGATCACATTTGGATTACCATAGTATCCGGTCAGACAACTTTCACAGTGCATTCCGGTATAACCCGGTTTACATGCATCACACATATATCCTCCATCATTACCTACTGCTAAACATGTATCACTAAAACTATTATCCGGTAATGGACATGCACATTTCGTGCATGCATTTGCACCACCAACCAATGCATTTCCCTGATAACCTGGCTTGCAAAGTTCACAATAATCACCGTATGTATTATGCTCACAATTCTGAAAAAAAAAAGAGAAATTAGCATTTTTCTTTTGTTTTTTTTTTTTCTTGCAATGATAAATAATAAAAAAATAGTGAAAATATATAAAGAAAATTTAACAAATTTCAAAATTCATTTGCTATTCATTTTTTAATTAAATAATTTAAATGAGATGCATGTCTTACAGTGCATCTGCAAGTTTCTGCTTCACATGTTGTTGAATGTCCATTGCAAATGCATGGCTGTGGTCCACCTATCAATGCCAAATCGTCCGGACTATTCAAGAAATCAGGTTGTCTTTTCCGGCAATAACCATCAGCTGGATCTTGACATGAATAACCAGCATAACCCTGAGGACATTCACATAATTCAACACCAATTGCAACTGAATTTGATGTATCAGTTGTATTATCCCAAACAGCTACATCGATACTTATTTCATTGATAGAAGCTGTATCACCACTGAAATTTATTGTTTATTTGTTGCTATGAATAGTTATAGCTTAAAGTTAATATAAATAATAGGGGGCAAAGGTCATTACTTGTTTACTGTCTTTCGTTCTATTCAGAATATAAAATGAAATTTTCAGAAAAAAATTAACGTAGATGGATAGTTGTATGTTGCTCTGATATAAATGCCTTGCAAATTTTGCAAAGCAATCATTAGCTGTTTACGTGTTACTGGTACGTCAGGACTTAAACGTGAACGCCATTGACTTTCATGTAAGCGAATTTTATAGCGTCCTGATTGATTCACTTCATCAGGTGTATGTTCCAGAATGATACGATGATTGCCAACCTGTGAATTAAATAAACTTGATATCAATTACAGTTTATAGAAAGAAACTTACAGGATTAGGAATTTTAAATCGAAATTTAATTCAAATTATTCCCCTCAATTTTTCTCACCTTAGTTCGAGAAATAGCAGACAAAAACAAAAGTTAACCAAGATAATTTGTGGAAAGAAGCGAAAATGTTGTGGATCAGGTGCTACATTAGTAATACCACGATAATTATCATCATTTTTGATTGTGAAACGAATAAATCCATTATAGGATGCTGTTCGATCACCTAGGAAACTTGATGGAAGAGGCCTGAAATCCGTATTTATCAATTTAATAAAGTATAAAAATCAAAAAATCATTTCATTTTTTTCTTATACATCTTATGAATTTGAAATAGCGATTTTCAATTATGTTCAACAAAAAAAAAAAAAAAAGAAACTATTCAAGAAAAAAATTTTTTTTTCCGATTTGAATTTTCTAAAGTATGCAGTAATCCGGAAGTAGGTGGCCATTTCATTTTGTGAAATAAAATGAAAATATTTTCAAAAACAGTACCAATATAAAGGTGTAATATCTGTTGGATAACTATTGTATATCAATGGTTTCTCTCTAAGCACATTCAAATTATGTTTACGTATATAATATTTCCATGGTTCTGAGAATATTACCTTAATTAAAATAAAAATTGAAAATTTTTCACATTTTTTTAAATATCAAAAAATTTGATAAATAAAATTGCTATACCAATAATTTATATTACATTTCTGAAATTCAAGGAAAAAAAAGAGAGTTTTATTAAAATAAAATATTAAATAAAAAAAAAAAACCCATTGCTTAGGGTAAAATTTATTATATTACCTGTCGATCGGATGCATAAATTTGTTGCCATACAAAACTACTTTGTACGCAGAAATTAGTACGATTAAAGCAGAAACAATCGGTGCAACCAAATATATTACTTTTCTCGAGACTAAAGCTATATGCATCGCAACTATCACATTTTAATCCTATCACATTTTTCTAAAATATGCATATATTTTTTTTTTTTTGTTATAAAATTTAATAAATAAATTTAAATTTTACAATTTATTTTATTTTATTTTTTTCATGATAATAATTGAAATATTATTATTGATAAAGGAAGATTAGCATTAGTAGATTTTAAGAAAATTAATTAAAACATATGAAATGCATGTCATCTACCTTGCAGCTGCACTGTCCAATCTCATCACAAAGGCATGCACCATTTTTGCAGGTTGCTGGATCAGTTCCGGATAAATCACAATTACATAATTCACATTGCGGAAAATTAAAATATCCATGAATGCATCGATCACATTTTAAACCAACAAAACCCAATCGACAATTACACTAAAATTAAACGATGATCATACATACATAAATATATATTTATTTAATATATCAATTAGATAGTTGTATTACCTGTCCGGTTTGAGGATTACAATTTGGTCCATCAGCACCGATACCGGAACAATCACAGAGAGTACAACCGTTTAACGGATCATAATTCCATGCATTACTGGAACAATTTTCACACATTTCACCGATGGTATTAGGTGGGCAAATGCATTCACCAGTTATTGAATCACAAATATGACCAGGTGCTGGACATATACGACATTCTGGAAAAAAAAAGAACAAAGAGAGAAACAAATTTGAAATTAATATTAATTAATAAATAACATTTCAAAACTTTCAATTATTAATTTAAATGTTTACAAAATTAGGAAGAAATTCAATTTTACCTTTACAACCATTTGCATTTAATCCAAAATGATTCGGGGCGCATTTGTCACACTTTAATCCAGTAACACCAGATTTGCAATCACATTGGCCTGTATGTGTATCACATTGGATACCTTTAGAGCCTATTGAATCGCAATCACATGCCTAGTAATTTTTAATTTAAAATACAATAACAAAAATGTAAAAATTAAATTAAATGAACATAGAAAGTTGACACAAATTGAATTTTCTAAAAATTCTTACTTGACATCCTAGTCCACTAGTTATATTAAAATAACCATTTGCACATTTTTCACACATTTTTCCCTCTACATTTTTGCGACATTCACATTTTCCGGTGACATTATCACAACGACCATCATCTATTGCACCAAATGCATTACAGTGACAAAATTCACAACCATTCTCGGAAAAATTGAAATAACTTGCTCTACACATGTCACATTGCTTTCCAAATACACCTGTCTTGCAAGCACACTGAAAAAAAAAAAATATTTGCTTTTCCTTTTTTTTTTTTTCAAAGTTTTTACTTCCATAAATTGCAAATGAATTTTCAAATGAATTTAAATCGATCTGTTTCAATTTGCTTATTAAGTAATTGGTAATTTACTTAAGTGTACAATTATGACAATATTTTCTTGATCATTTGAAACTTTCCAGTCATTTCTTTTCTTCTACACTATCAAAAGCTTTAATTAATTTAATTTATAGCAACAGCAAACAACAAGATCTAATTCATACTAATTTCCGATATTTCAAGTTATTTAATTAAATTAAATAGGATTCATTCCATATATTTTCTAAAGAATAAAAAAAAAAAAAAAAAAAACGAACTTGACCGGATACTTCATCACATTCACTGCTAAAGGAACCGGTCATATTACAACTACAAGCAGGACACATATTTTCAATGTCGCCATGTCCATCCTTTAAAAAAAAAGGAAAAATAATTTTTAAGTTTTTTTTTTTTTAAGTTAGACCAAAAGTTTTTCCAATTTTCAGGCTCTTCTACAAAAAGTTTTTCCCTAAGAGAAATTTTGTTTCTATTATTTATTTAAATTTACCTTACATCGATTGCACTGCATACCCACATAATTATTGTGACAGTCACAAATACCAGTTAATTTGTCACATGTTGCCGAATGGGAACCTTTAGGGTGACAACCGCATGGTCGACAGGATTTATCTTTCGGATTACCCCAATGATTCTCTTTGCATTTCTCGCAATGATCACCGGCTGTATTATAGATGCATTTTAAGCATTTTCCTGTTTTCCGATCACAATTTCCAATAGTCATTGGATCAATGTTACCATTACAATTGCACGGTTCACAGGTACCATTCTTTATAAGTGGATTACCAAAGAAACCATCAGCACAACTAGAAAATTTCACTCTTTTTTTTTTCTAAAAGTTTATATTAAAAATTAAAATCTTTATGTTTTTTATTAATTAAATCTTTTGTAACAAAATTTTATGAAATCAAATTTTGAATAAAACATTTTTTTTAGCAAGAAACTTTCTTCCACCAATTTTTTTTTTTTTTTTTTAGCAAAAGTTATGCAAAATTTTATTAAAGTGTTTACATTTCGCATTTATTACCATCGTAGCCATGTTCACACGCGGTGCAAACGTACGCGTCTTCACCGTACGCTGCAGCACCACCAACAATAAGTTGCGTTAGACTGCATAACGCAGAATGACTATTCTCGATAGTTGGACATGCACATGGGTGACATTGACCAAATTCACCACCCAACGATGGATTACCATAATGTCCGGGTAAACACTGATGACATCGACGACCAGTTGTATTGTGCTAAAGTAATAAATGTTAAATTTTATTTTTGCTAACAAAATTAAAATTATTTGTTTTTTAGCTTTGCTTCTTTTTTTTTTTTTTTTGTTTTGTAATTAATTAATTAATCTATAATATTACTACTCACTTGACAATTGATACAATCACCCGTAAAAGGATCACATTCAAATGAATGTCCTTCACAATTACATTTCTCGCAATGACCATCGAATAGCTGATTGTTTACTCTACGATATCCTGATATACAACGCTGCAAAATAAATTTAAAAAAAAAACGTTACTTGTTAAGTGTTTTAATCTTATTTTAATATATTCTAAAGAAAAGTATGCAATAAATAATAGCAATATTTTATATATAAATGACGTAAAAAAAATTTTTTCTTTGTTATTACGTGAATAACTTACTTCACAACTATTGCCTGCGTAATATTCGGGACACTGACATACTTCCACGCCACGCATCAGTGTATTAGGTAATAATCCATCTGTACTCTCCGCTGTTTTCTTCGATTCAATCGCTGTGTCCAGTGTTAATCCATAAATACTATAAAAATTTAATCCAATAATTTGAATTGATTGCTAAGAAGAAATGTAAACAGTTAATAAATTTATCGTTGAAGATAATCACTATTTTATATATATGTATATTTCATTGATATCGAAAATAAAATTAATTGATAACATTAAAGATAGTAAATGATTAGACAGAAAGAAGCTACCTAGATTAAATAAACTACCTGGATTATATTAAATAAGCTACCTAGATTAAATAAACTACCTGGATTATATCAAATAAGCTACCTAGATTAAATAAACTACCTGGATTTATTAAATTACATTAAATAAGTTGCCTGGATCATATTAAATAAATTACCTGGATTGTATTAAATTAACTGCCCGGATTGTATTAATTAAACTACCTGGATTATATTAATTAAACTACCTGGATTGTATTTGTTCCTTATTATACAAAGCTCGTATTAGCATTGTGTTAAGATCAGCTAAAACACGCATCATTTCATGCTTATCAGTAGGCGTACGCATATGTGAATTATGCCAACCACTGTCTTCTTTCATTGGTATTTGAATGCTAATATTTTCTCTGGGAAAGAAATTTTGTTGACTATAATATTCCAATTTGATACCATTACCCTAAAAAGTGAATTTATTGAGAGAATTATCAAATGCAAATAAAATAAATTAAATAATACACGTAAATAATGACGTCGCTTACGTATAATTACGTATTTTCAATTAATACACCTATATTACACTATCTTATACCAATTTGATACCATTACCCTAAAAAGTGAGTTTATTGAGAGAATTATCAAATGTAAATAAAATAAATTAAATAATACACGTAAATAATGACGTCGCTTACGTATAATTACGTATTTTCAATTAATACACCTATATTACACTATCTTATACCAATTTGATACCATTACCCTAAAAAGTGAATTTATTGAGAGAATTATCAAATGCAAATAAAATAAATTAAATAATACACGTAAATAATGACGTCGCTTACGTATAATTACGTATTTTCAATTAATACACCTATATTACACTATCTTATACCAATTTGATACCATTACCCTAAAAAGTGAATTTATTGAGAGAATTATCAAATGCAAATAAAATAAATTAAATAATACACGTAAATAATGACGTCGCTTACGTATAATTACGTATTTTCAATTAATACACCTATATTACACTATCTTATACCAATTTGATACCATTACCCTAAAAAGTGAGTTTATTGAGAGAATTATCAAATGTAAATAAAATAAATTAAATAATACACGTAAATAATGACGTCGCTTACGTATAATTACGTATTTTCAATTAATACACCTATATTACACTATCTTATAAATCTAATCTTTCATTTAAACAGCTCTATCACTTTTTTTTTTTTCACATCCTTAAAATACTTGAAAAAAAGCTCATCGATTCCCTCGAATAATATAGAAAAATTCTTGTAAACAACACACAAAACAAACATATCATTTTAAAAAAAAAGAAAAGTAATAATTTAATTTCACCAACTTCTATGATAACATCAGGAATTGATGTTTCTTCTCCATTACCCATCGGTACAAAATATACAAAATATTGTAAATTTCCACCATAACTATTCAGCTAAAATTATAAAAGTAAATTTCATTCATTTATAATACCAATAAATTATCCATACAGCTCACAGATGAAATTTACTTTAAATAAAAATTTTTTGTAACTTAAAAACAAAAGATCCCAATTTAATAATTATTTGCTAAAATTACTCAAAAAAAAAAAAAAAATCATTGATTCCTACCAATGAATTATCATTTATAAAATGGAAATTTAATAAATTTGAAAAAGTATTCATTAAAAAAAATAAAATACCAAATTTCCATTAAATTCTTTTGGTGCTTTCCAATAGTACAAATCATTGTTTCTATATTCACTATTGGTATACATTAATACTTCATTTTCTGATTTCGGTGGAACTATTTTTTCACCTGACAGATCTGTTAGTACCCAACCTGTAGTACTTCGTATCTGTAAATTCATAAATTTAATTTCATTTATTAAAACTTTTTTTTTTGTCGGATAATTAAAATAAACGAAAAGAATAAAAAATTGTAATGTTAAAGTAAGGAAGAAAAACGTATAACAGTTAATATGTTAATATAATAATCATTGGTCTTCAGTATTACTTTTCGAGATTGAAATCAGAAATCAGAAAAAAAAATGGATTTATTTACTTTTCAAAAATTTTTGAAATATTAAAATATTAGATATAAATTGTATGTATGGTACCTCGCCACGATTCCACTGCTTTTCATGACATTTATTGCTAAGACCAAAACAGAAACAAGGTTGACAACCTTTTGAATTTTTCATATCCAGGTTAATTGTACCTTCCTAAAAATTTTAATGTAAATAAACACGCATAGAAAATGCAAATTTCCATCTGCTATTTGCCTTCTATTTCTGATAACTTAACTTTCCGGGTAATTATTACTTATTAGATTTAATAGTAATATTGCAAATGAGCAAATTATCAATTTTAAAAAAATTTCAAACAAATACTTTGAGTTATTTAACAAAGCACTTTTTTGTGACAAATTTTTAAAATTATAATACTGAATGGTAGGTCTGATTCAGAAGCTTTTTTTTTTCATTTTAATTAGTCCAATTATAAATTCAACGAACTAATTGATAAAAATATCCTACCAACAACTGTGATTATTACTTGATTTTTTAAGATGATTGAAATTCTTAAAAAAAAAATTAAAAATATGTGAAAGGTCAAAAAGTTGAAAGTGACCTTGCATCGGTCACAATAAACGCCCTCTACGTTTGCCTTGCAAATGCAATGTTCTTCCTCGCAGGTGTCAAAATTCAGGGAACCAGCTCGATTACATGGACATGGCTCACATTTTGGATGATTCCGGTAGCCCGGTGCGCAAACATCACATCGACGTCCACCAAATCCCGGTTTACAGATACAATCACCTGGCTTCTGTATGTGACAAATTGAATTTAAATTTGAAATACATTAAGTTTCATAAGCTCAAAACAATACTTTTACCAATAACTGCAGTCTTGATAAATTTGATAAGTTAACTTACTTGATCACCATCCGCGCTTGTCTCATCTCGAACACAATTATTATGCTCGGAACCGATTGGGTCACAATCACAAGGCCGGCATGCATCTTCTCGATAATGCGTAACACCGGACGGTCGGAAATATGTCCACATGCAACGTTCACAGTTTATTCCGTCAGTGTTATGCTGAAATTACGACAAATATTTTTTAAGTGAAATATTTCAAATATTTGTTTGGAATGAATTTAAGTTTTATTATTGAAGAAGAAATGCAAAAATGATAAATGACTTACTTTACAGGCGATGCATTTTCCGCCACCTTCAAAAATACCTTCCGGTGTAACACTTAAACCTAATCGTTCCACTTCTTCATCGTATTCGCAATGTGTTGCATGATTAAAACATTGACAAGCTAAAATTAAAACGAAAAATTAAAAATGTTTTATTAGATTTAATTCTTCAATGTTAATAAAATAAATTAAACTTACGTTGGCAAACATTAGGATGTAATTGCGTTCCTTGACGCCACGGAAGTTGATTAAATAGTGGACAACATTTACTACAGGATTCACCACACGTGTTATGACGACATTCACAACGTGATTGCTGAAAGTTAGAAATAAACTAATTAAAATTTATTACTTAACCAAAAATTAAATATAGTCTAATCTTTTCCTTTTTTTTGCAATTCAGTAATTAATAACTTTAATTGATGCTTTAATGTGAGATTACATTAATTGGTATTGAATTATCAACAGTTATTTTAATCAAAATGTTACCCCAGTGACCGGATCAGGTGGACAACTTTCTGCATGTCCGTGACAAATGCACTGACCACCAATACTGATATCCTTGATAGCATAGAAGTAACGTCTTGTCACCGACAGATCCAATCTATTGCTCTTATCACGTCGATTGATAATCATTAAATCAGCGTTTAATGTACGTAAACTCATCAAGCGTAGACGTACATAACGAGCTCGAGTAAATTGCTAAAGTTATGCATGAATTTAATGTTAGTTTTAATTTTTTTTTAAAAAAAAAAGCATTAAATTAAGCAGAAATAATTTTGTTCTAAAATATTTTAATTTTAAAATAATTTATGCTACCTGTAAAGTTTCAGATGCAGCTTCAGCAGATGGTCGTCCATTTACGAGTGAAGTATAAATCTCACCATTTTCTAACGGATCAAGTTTTGAATAGTATGATGTACATATTACCTGTACTTTTTTTTTTTTTTGAAAGGTTATATTTAAAAAAAAAAAAAAAAAAAAAACACACACAGAGAATTTTAAGTGAAAACTTAATGATTAAATGAATGATAAATTGCATTTAAAAGCTATAAAACATTCTCATTCATAAATTATAATTCAAAAATTAAATAAAATTCATTTCTATTATTTTTAATAAATTTAAATAATTTTTAATGAAAACCTCATCATCTCGTGTAAATCGTGGTACACCAGTGGTTGCTGGTACATTAAATTGTCGTAAGCATTCAGCATCACTAACTGCATAATATTGCCATGGTTGATAATTAATACCATCAAGTGATTTCTCCAAAATCCAAGTTCCAGGTCGAGGTGCAATTGCACTTTTTATAATTACATACGCTACTTGATATTCCTTTAAATTAGCACTTTCATTTTTTTTTTCTTTTTTTTTTTTTAAATTAATTTCATTTTTTAGTTAAATAAAACTTAAGCTATCATTGTTTTCTATTTTTGATATTTATATTATTTCAAAAATTAATTATTATTCCTTTCAAAGCATTATGTTTTCTTTTTCTTTTAAATGTTAAATGTTAGGAAAAAAAAGAAAGAAATGATTGTGAAAAATCTCTGATGATGTTGGATAAAAATTTCAATTTCAAATTTTATTTCTAACTCTTGCATCATACATACAAAAAGAAATGACACCTGTCTCAGGTCAATGGTAATATTGACCCGTTCGTAATCAAGTCCATTAGCTAACGATGGACTTTGCCACCAACGTCGTGTACCATCAATTGCAAATTCAATTGGATGACGTTTCCGTACGTCATTTGCGTCACAAACGTCACATTGCGGTTGCCTACAGATTAGATTTATTTAAAAATCAAAATAACAAAAAACTAACATAAAGGCTAAGAAAAAAAAGAGATAAATAATGATAATAAAAATATTCCCTTTTGAATATTTCTGAGAAAATATGATAGAAAGGAGATATTAAGAGAGAAATGTGGGAATTACTGAAAAAAAAAAAAAAAAAAAAGAGATACATTCTCTTTTGAATTTTCAAATATTAATAAGCAATAATTTTTTTTTAAATTTAAAATTTTAATTTTTTACATAAAATGCTGTATTCATCATATAATTGAAAACACCTGTTAAAAACATGCTCCACTAATTTGCAATAAATTTCACGATTATGTTGACCACAGGTAGCATCCGCATAAATTAGCGCATTTGTTGCCAAATTGAAAATTGTTGGAAAAAGACCATGCTCTGTATAATAATTTTAATATGGAAAATATAAAAAAAGAATGGAAAATTTTTAAATTTCTAAAAAAAAAAAAAAAAAAAAAATCATTTCAAACATTTTAATTATTGAAAAATGAAAATATTTTTTTTTTTTTTTTTGTAATTAAAATTAAAATAAATATGATATAGTAATGAATAGCTCTAAGCTTACGTCCTTCTACAACAGCAAATTCCTGATAATTATCATAATCTTGATCTGCTCTTTCCGTATCACCAAAATAAACTGTTAGAATGATAGTAATTATAAATAAATATGATCGAAAGGCTAAACAGCCCATTTTTTTAATCCTAATTTTAGGAATTTCAGGACGATAATCTGCTGCTGCTCTATTTGATTATCCAATTGCTATAAGAAATAAATTTTATTTATAATTAAATCTTTCTTCTTGTTATCATATTTATCATGATAATTTTAGCCTATTTTTGATTGGTGAAAAAATTTTAGTATAAATGATTTATTCAGAAATATTACTTTAAAAAAAAAAAAAAAATGATAGTAAAATGATTTATTCAGCAAATGTTAAGTTAAAGTATACTTTTTTTTAAATGTATGCACATTTATTTGTTAAACATACTTTCATTTTTTATTGATATAATAAATTGTTCAATTTGTTAATTTAAACAAATAATAGTTTTTATCAGATTCTTAAATAAAATAAAATTTATATAATTAAAAAAAAGTTTTATGGAAGAAATATGAGAAAATATGAAATAAATGAAAGCGAACTGTTATATGTACGTAAATTTATGCAACAATAATAAGAATTATTCATTATCGAATTGTATTCTATCATTCATTCTTGGATTGCACTGCAAGAACAAAATGAAATGCATCAATGGAATGCGCAAAGTGACTGGGCGCAAGCTGTCACTGTTCATATGTATTTATGGTAATAAGCTTGTTTATACGTGTAAAAATTTACTTACTATTATTTAAGTAAATTAAGTGAAAAATTATAATTAACTCGAAGATTAAATTTGCAAAAAAAAAAAACTGATCATAGTACGATAAAAATAGCAAATGATAATGTTAAGGTTAGTTCGTTTATTTTAGGATTAATTAATTCATCATTTTAAGACTAGTTAATTCATCATTTTAAGATTAATTAATTCATCATTTTAAGATTAATTAATTCATCATTTTAAGATTAGTTAGTTTGTCATTTTAAGATTAGTTAGTTTGTCATTTTAAGATTAGTTAGTTTATCATTTTACGATTAGATGATTTCAATTTATCAACAATTTTATTAATAGATGGAATAAAAAGATTATCATAACTGATAACGAAAAAAAGTTTTTTTTTTTCTTTTTTTTTTTGCTGCAAATATACGATTGATAGATAATATTAATATGCAAATATATGATTGTTAGTATTAGCATATTAGCATGTTATGGTAGTATTGATAAAACCGGAAAAAAAGTGATTTGAGATAATCGATTGAACAGTAAAATGGGATTTGTGCAATGATTCATAGTGTGTGAATGAAATGATATGTTGCTGGTACGTTTATATTAAGCTATCATTTCTATTTATCAATTTTGATTTTAATCAAAAAGATGGAAGAGAAATTCGACTTCTCGAATTGATGATTCATTTTTGGTAAGATAAATGCATTTAGGCAGTATGTATGACTAATTAACAACAGTTGAATTAAATGCTTTTCAGTATTTAAGTCGTCTGTTCAATTGAAAGAGCTTAAAATTTATTGATTATGCTTTGAATGCTTTTTGTCTTTCAAACATTTTAAAATCTTTACTATTATTAGTTAAATTTGAAAAATTGATTGCTCAAAAGTTAACACTTCTGATTGTTCTAATAATTAGAAGCAATATTATTTGATATGAATAAAAAGGATGGAATATTTATAGATTTGAAAATAAAATAACACTTTTATGCAAGAATTCAAAATTAGTAATTTATTAGGAAAAAAAAAAAACATAGAAAATTAGAAATTTGAAAATAATCATAAATTGAAATGGTCTACACTCTCACTAGATAACTGTTCAAAATGCAAGCGATTACGAATTAGTTGCAACAATAAATTATAAACAAAAAAAAAAAGAGTGGTTATCTTGGCAGTAATCAATCAAATACCATCAATTGATAATCATCTTTCATTGGTTTTTAGGCAAAAGAAAAGAGTACATCAAAAAAAAAAAAAAAAAATACATTTAAAAAATAAAATAAAATAAAAAAAATACGATATACTCTTAAAAAATGAATGAAATAATTGAATAAGACATTTGGTAATACATTACACAACAACTGCCATCGATCGAATTACTGATTATTGTTTGAAAAAAAAAAAAAAAAGATTGTATGTTTTGGAGGGAGAATTTAATAGACTTAATAGAGCGTAAATAAAATTAATATCTATTGAAATTTTATTAATATAATTAAATTTTATACAAATGATGAAGTGTATATTGCATAAGAATTGAATGGAAAGAATGTCATTTTTGCATGGAAAATAGGAAATAATACATACACCTTTCATATTGCAGGTGATTAATTAGGGTTAAGGAAGGCATAGTAAATAGACATTTGCCATACAGCACAAATGCTACTTAAAGGATGGATGATGATGACATGCGAAGAAACAAACAGACGGACCAAATGACATTACAATGTACGACAACGACCTCTACTATGATGTGACAAAATGAAAGAGAACAAAGTTCTTCGAAAACGTAACGTATCGGTTTATTGAAAGAATGAGGATGAGATGTGAAATAGTAGAGACAGTAAGTACTTGCTTAGTAATCGTTTCTTCAATCATTTCACAAAAAAAAAAAAAAAAAAAAAAAAGAAAGAGTCAACATCTAGACAATAAATATATCGGCGCTTCTGTGTTCAACAACCCTCTTTCTTTCTTTCTTTCTTCATTTTCATCTCTCTATATCGACATTTATAATTCATGTTTACTGTCACTAAATGATTCAATTCTATTTAACCAAAACGCAAAAAAAAAAAAAAAAAAAAAAAAGTGAAACCAATGAATGTATTCATCTCTTTGAAGTATGCATTATATTATTAGCATCTGAGCACCTATCATTTCCATAAATATTTCTTCTTTCGTTTTATGAACGTATATGTTTTTATTCAAATATCTTGTTAAAACTTTCAACGATACAAGTATAAGTACCCCGCAACTTAAAGCTTGCTTAAGGGAAACAAAAAAGTAAATAAACAAAGTGAAAAAAAAAATGCAAAACAACAAAATAAGCAAACAAATAAGTAAATTTACTTAGTTGAGAGTTATTGCAATGAGGTAAAAATGTTCTTGAAAGTGACTTAAAAGAATAGATGTGAAGCTTAGACTTCGAGATGCAAATTGAATTTCAAGATCCCAAAATATTGCGTATTATAGCTAAATACAATAAGAAAATATTCAATGGATAGATCTTTTCACAATTCAATTGTAAGACTCAGGGGACAGTGATCGCTTCCTTTGATTGAATGCAGAATATCACACTTTTTCACTTTATTCATAATTCGCTCACTAACCACAAAATAATCGAGCCTGAAAATTACAAACTTTTGAAAGATATTCAGTAAACTTAAGTTAGCAAACATGACAGAAGATAGACTTGCACTTTTTTTTGGAAAAAGATAATTTAAAACAAATAAAATGAAAAAAAAAAAAAAAAGTACACCTCCAGCCGACATTCTTCTCTCTTGCATTGTGCATGTTTGACCAAAATGTATAGGCACCTTCTTTGTCTGGATTCAACCGACGAAAAACGTCCACAAATCCTGTAATGAGAATTTTTAAATACAGAAATTCTACAGAGAAGTAACGGAATTTCATATAGGATTAAAGAATTTATTTTTTGTAGTTATGATCATCCTAACACTAAGGTAATAAATACCGGCATCAAGTAGTCGAGTAAAATCATTCCGTTCCTGATCTGTGAATCCAGCTGTCTTGTTACGATTCGTTTTTGGATTCGCCAAATCTAAATGAAAAATGAATTCACGAAAATGAATGATATTCTCTATAATTCTGGATTATTGAAAATATTCGAACTACCTACCAATTTCCTGATGTGCAACGTTTAGGTCTCCAACATATACAACAGGTTTACTTAAATCAAGTTTTTTAATAAAAGTGAGATAGTAATCATCCCAAATTTTCCGCTTGTCCAGATTCACCAAACCACGTCCACTGTTCGGAACATAAGCGTTAATAAGATAATAACTTTCATATTCAGCAATAATAATCCGTCCTTTACCATTCCCATCTATATCACACTTGGATTTGTCATCAAAACTATATGTTACCTAAAAATAGTATATGCATGAATGAACAAAAAAATTATGTTACATTTTTGTTTTATTTTTGAATTTTTGCATTAATGCAGTTTGAAGCGTAAAAATTTCACTTTTATTGGTTCCTCTTTTGTAAGCAACAATACACCGCCATGTCCCGATTTTTCTGAAGCATTTAGGAAAGTATGGTAGCCATTTTGCAATTCACTTGGAACATCTACACATTTTGTCTCTTGTAGAGCAATAATATCCGGATTCTCTTCAACCAAAACTGAATGTCCATTCTTCTAAAGACAAGCAAATTTAAAATGTTAATTAAAATTTTTTCTAATTAGTACATATCTTTTTCAAATATCAATTGCATTCATCGGATTAAACTTAAGCAGCACTAATTATATACGAATGACAAGCTCTAATTTCAAGAACTACCTTTTAATTCTAAATAATAAGACCATATATGAATAACTCATCATATAAAAATAACTCTGCTTAAGCTACTTTTGAACACAATTTTTCTTTTTTTGAACTTTTGAACTTTCGCACATAAAATTAAATTGACCTTAATCAACGCTCGAAGTCCAGCAACATTCCAGCTGATAATTTTGATTTCTCTGCCACTTTTTTCAACTTTCTTCTTCTTTTTCTCGATGATACATTGCTCATTTTGCATCTCTTCATGTTCATTGTTCATATCTTTCTTATCATTGTTAACATTTTTAGTTGCTCCTTTCACTTTATCATCTCTTTCTCTCTTCTTTACTCGTCCACGTTTTGCAGGCATTCTGCAAACAAATAATGCATGCAGTGTATATCAAACAATAATAACTTGCTTGATAAGCTTATCTACAAATGACATTCGTGTCACCACGTACAGTTAATAATATAATCAAATTTTAGTTAGTAAATATACCGAAATTCATAATCAAATTTTAGTTAGTAAATATACCGAAATTCATAATCAAATTTTAGAAATAGACGCGAAGAGAACAAAGTTTTGCTTTTCTCTTGGAGAAGGCGGTGACACAAACTACTCATTGACATGTCCCATCCAAATGTCCTTTCATCAGCCCAGGAACTGATCACCTTAGCAACCTGAATCTAAGCCTGTCTTACAGGTGGTTGGGCGAGAGTCTCGTTTTTTTCCGGTGCCCCGGTGAATGGGGAGTTTTGGGAAGTATTTTGCTTGCTGTACTGCTTTTTCTCTTCTATACTTCTTCTTAGCTATTTGCTTGACAAAGTGATTGAATAATTTTGTTGATATGATTGAATTATCTTGTTGATATGGTTGTTTTATAAGAAGTTGATAAGTTGATTCTCATGGTTATTATATCACTGGAATGATTTACTGGATGAAAGAGACTAGAAAATATTACAGAATAGTTCCTAGCTAATAATCAATTAAAATTAAATCAAATTAATACTTTATTTCAGATGCCGCTAACTAGGCGTGCAATCTCACCGGTTAACGTAAGCCTTCATCGTTTGCCATCTTCAATACAGCAAGATGAATTGGAATGCGTTGCCAATGGTACCTTAGCAAATCTAATTCGACAATTGAGTTCGTTAAGCCGACATGCTGAACATATTTTTGGTGAAGTTTATCATGAAGCTGTAAAATTGGATCATAAAACAAATACTTTATCGCAGAGAATTGAAAGATTAACGCATAAGGTGACACAGTTGGACTACACCCAAGAACAAGGTTTTTTTTTTTTTCTTTCTTTTTTAACTTTAAAGGTTGTATGGTTGAATTTGATAATTTGGAGAAAGAACTGAAGTGCATCGTTATCGGTATTATAGCAGATTTTATTCGATAACGAATGTTCTTTGAACATTATCCTTCTAATTTTATATAATGTGATGGAAATTATATTTTAGTGTCACTTGAAGATTTGCATATGCGAAAACCATTCAAAAGTAGCTGTATAATTGATCAGCATACATTAGATCGTCAAACGTTACCTTCTGCTTTAGCAGAATGTTATGCTACTTGTGATCCTCCACCTAATCTGGATGCTCTAAATCCTTATAGAGATGACAAGAAGAATGCACTTAGGTTAATTTTATCAGATGTTTTTTTTTTTTTTTTCTTTTTACTGAATACGAAAGAAATTAATGAATATTAAAAAGTTCTTTGATATCATATAAAAATGAAAAGGAAAATTGCATGCATGTATTGCAGGTATTATACTGATCCGTCATATTTCTTCGATTTATGGAGGCAAGAAATGTTGAAAGATGTTGGTGATGGACGACGTGGACGTTCCATTAGGTCACCAACTGAAAATAAAAGTCCTCGAAAGAAACGCAATCGTCAGCCTGTGACAAATAATATTGGAAGAGATTCCATTCCAAGGTTGAAACTTTACCGTTTTTACTTGCTTATATCTCTTTCTTTCTTGTATAATAAATTTCGTTCTGTAATGAAAGTATTTTCAGAGGTTTTCATTGTATTTTCAGATATTCTGTTGCATCACAACAGCGTTCTGCAGACATCATGCATTTTCCAGCAGAATATCAAGCACCTCAGATAGTACATATTGATCAAGTTCGCGCACCGGCCGGAATGAGTGTACCCACAAATAATGGATACACCACCACGATACCAATGACTTCAGTCGCGCCTTTTGTTTCACCCATCAAAGAGGCAAACTTTTTCGAATTTTTAAGAAACATTAAAGGAATATTAATGAGCTTATCTATTTGGTATGTAATTATGCTAGATTGCTTTGTTGTTCTTTTAAAAGTAAGTTAAATTTCAGGAATTGCCAGTTGTTCCAGCTGATAACCAAATAGCTAGTCAGTTGGCCGACATCGATTTGCAAGACGATGCTCTTTTGGAGGATGATCTTCCTCCACCACCACCGCCCCTCATGCATACCTCACTAGTTTGTCAAATGCCGTCTCCACCTACAATGCAGTATGTCGCTCCATCTTCTAATTCTATTCCACCTCCGCCTCCTCCTCCACCACCTATACCCGGTGTCACCTCCGCTGCAACAGCTACCCAATCGCCCGTCATTGTTGCATCTTTTGCTAATAAAGAGGAAATGAAAAACGAGACATCCGTTATTCAAGTTTCTGATACACGTTCGAATCTACTCGCTGAAATACAGTCTGGCATAAAACTCAAACAGGTAAAATAAACTATTTTGATCATCATTAAGCTGTGGAGCTTTCTTTTCTTTATGAAGTGCTAGATTTGACAAAATGTAATTTGTAGGTGCAAAGAAAAGAACAGGCAGCGGAAGAAAAAGCAGCTGCAGAAGCGAATGATGTTGCAGCCATATTGCGTCGTAGGATGGAACATATTTTGGGGCATTCCGATAGTAATAGCGAATCGCCAACAGATGATGATGAAGAATGGGATTAGTTAATCTTATTCTCTTAACCTACCATGGTAGCAACTGTGCCTTCTAGCCTTAGTAACTAAAATTGTTTTAGATGCAGTTTGAATCGGATAATCTGATCAAACTGGTCAGCAGAGAGAGTGGGGCTAGAATTAATTTATCCTCAAATCTTTTTTTTAAATATTATCAGTTATACGACTGATATTCTGATTAGTTACTGCGATTAAATACTCTGATTAGTTACTCAGATTAAACTTACATTAATAAAGTATGTAGTGTACTACATACTTGACCCGAAACATTGACCTTTTTATCGGCTTTTTAAGAGCATAGGTTTCATATATGTTTATATTGATTGTATATTAGCTGATAGAACGTAAGTAGTTGCTCTAACGAATAGATAATGGGTACTTTTTGACACTTTATTTTGTTTCATTCAAATCTATATTTATTCTTATATGGAAAAATTTATTTTGTATGTTTTTTGTTAAATCGAAGAACAAAAAAGCTTAGTTATCGTCAAATGTGTTGTTATTCGATTATTTATCCTAGTCCAAGCATTCTTAACTAGGTCATAGGTAGATACTAGCCATTATTCCACGTCTCGTGGCTGTACAAATAATGTTTAATTGTTTGATATTTCTATTTTGGGCCCCTCTCTTAAATTGAGTTATTCAGTGATATTAATAATGTTGTTGCTGCTCACTGTAGTATTTGCAGTACGTAAATTATTGCTCCTTTTTTTTGGGTACTTAATTTACAGGTCCCTTCTTGTAAACAGCGCTTATGGACTTTTGTTATTGTTTTATAAATTTGTCATTAGTTTTTATATTAAATATATTTTGTTCCATGTGTTTCACATTTGTTGAAAACTGCTACAGAGTACTTCAGTTATTTTCGTCCTTAGCATCGTGACGTTATCGAAATATTTGAGTGGCAGTATAATATCTTGTTTACACTCTCACACATTGTTTTCCCAAATATTGCTGTGTTCATAGTATTATCAAGAAGTTTTACAGTATGTGTAGGAAGCAAATTGTTGATGCTATAGAAGGTATTAAGAGAATTGCTATGCAGAAGTTTGTCACTAGTCTGCAGGAACGTGAAACGAAATGCATTAGAGATCGAATTGATAAGGTAAAGTTTTATTTATCAGTGAATCACGTAAGTTTTGGAGTAGTGAATTCATTGGTAAATTTGTCTGGATGCATTTTTGGGGAAAGTTATGTGAGAGGTTTAACCTGTCATTCGATTTTAATTAATCATTTTGACATTATAGCTATTTGACCATTCTGTTTGTGGTGGTAAATATAAACGAAGTATACTGTTGGTAGAGGCTTATAAAGCACTCGGTGGACGACAAGATGAAGAAAGAATGAAAATGGTAACAAATATAGCAGCGTGCTTGGAACTTTTACAAAGCTTTTTCCTTATCGAGGATGATGTAATGGATGAAGGTGTGAATAGAAGAGGCAAACCATGTTGGCATCGACTGGTTATTTTCCTTTTATGACTTTGCTTACTTCTTTGGATTATGTTTATATATCTCTGAAATTCTTGTCATATATTTAATTATGCTGGAACTTCGTAAGATTCGAAATATATTAAAGGATCTCGAAAAAAGGGTCTTTATATAGGAAATGGGTTAATGTATCATTTGGTTCAATAGCAAACGAACGATATGATTGATAACTTATTGAAAGATTCTTAGGAAGGAATAGGAATAAATGGAATCAATGATGGATTGTTATTGGATTGTATGGTGTCGTATATTTTACGTAGTAATCGAGTTTCGGCTGATGTTAGGGATGCCTTTGATGAAGTAAGTAAGCTGTATGTTTTACAGCTTTCTTATCATCTCATGTTTTGAAAGTTAATGAATGAACATTTCTATTTCTGTTATGTCGAGAAAGATAATCACTTGCTTCCTTTCAAAAACATTTTTTAAGGCTCGGCGTGTTACAATACTCGGGCAAATACTTGATGGTGATACGAAGAGTGTTGAAGATTGCACTTGGCAAAGGTTGTTTTATACTAAGGACTTATTTTAACTCATTTTAACATTTTATTATCTGTTTTCAGACATCGGTCAATAACACAGCATAAGACGTCGCATTATACTTATTTCACACCACTACAGATTGCAGCTCTTTTAACTGCACAACCATTAATCATTGAACCTGTGAAACGAATTGCCTATCTACTTGGTTATCTCTTCCAATCCAAGGTACCTTTCTCACTGAATTGAAAGCTAACAGTAAACTTTATTGTTCGAAAGATTGGTCCGTTTTGTCACTTTTGTGCCCACTGATTTGGTTACGAAAATTGGCTAGTAATGTTTTATTTATAAAAAAGCTTTAGCTTTAGGATGATTACATGGATTGTTTTGGCGACAAATCGATAACAGGTAAAGTAGGAAATGACTTGAGGGAAGCAAAGTGCACATGGGTTACCTGTAAAGCAATGGAAAAGTTAACACATCAGCCAAGCTTTTTAACAGATTTCCAGGTAATGATATAAATTAGTTCATCAAAAAAGCAGGAACTATTTTTTATATTTCTTAAGAAATAAACATTTTCAGGAGCACTTTGGTAAACGAAGCATTACATCGGAGCAAAAACTGAAAGATATTCTGACACATTTGCGAGTAGCAGATGATTTTCACTTATTTCGTGAAAGATATGCTGGCGAAATACTCAACAGTATTGATCATTTCCCAATGATAGATCTCAGACCAGTCTTACGACAATCAGTCAATGATTTAGTGGATGCGAACCTCTAATAAATCATTTTTTTTTCTTTTATTGTGTTAGAAACTAATAATAAAAATACACTTCATTTAATCTTTATATGAATTACTTCGTGGAATGATGTTCCGAATAAGCAAATTCTGACTTTGTTTTAGTATTTTCATTCCTCAACTAAAGTTTTTGAAGCACGCTTTAATTGCTTTTAATAAGTTTAATATTAGAACAATAAAACTGTTCATAAATTGAACCATAAAAATGGTGAGCTGAAAGATTTTTACTCAAGAAAAGTTAGTGAAAGCAAACAGTATGATGAGTAAACGCTGAAAAGCATCCTTGTTAATGTATTGGTACAGTATCAATGCGCATTATTTCTCATCCTCAAAAGTATCGAATCGTCCAGTACTGGCAGTAAGCTATTCTGTGCAAAGATTACATAAGATGTAATAATTCATTTGAACAACTTTGATAACAAAAAGACTTTTTAAAAAAATTTTCACCGAACAAAAAAGTTGTATTATTCTAATGAATTAAGATTTAATTAATTTAATAATTTTACAAAAACTGCACTTAAAACACAAGTCCAGGCGCGTAAGACATAGAAAGAAAAATTTGAAAACTAATAATTTATGTCAAAAACAACAGACTGCCATATAATGATTATCACAACCTTTGGCAGAATTGAAAAACAAAAAAGTTAGAAAGGCAGAGTTAATTGTTTTAAAATATAGCTGATCTGGCACATAACTGCCTTCTTTTTTTCAGCAGGAAAAGACGTAAATGGTACAAAATGGGAACATACTGGTCGTCGAAACCTCTTGAAAGAAATGTATTTCACCCGAAGCAATTTCAAAGAAACAAATTTTATTCAATAAAATTTCGCTTTCTCCGGCTTGCCTCTGAAATAAAACACATTTCCAGAACAAGATTTTAGAAAGTTAACTCGTCAAGTAGTGCATCTACTTACAAGTAAAAAAATTATTATGTAATTAAGTAGGCATATAAAATACTGTTGAGAAACTTACCTTATCCATAGGACGAGCACAATAACAGCACTCTGCACTAAAATAATAGTCATGAAAAATGAAGACGACAAACAGGATATATTCGTACAACTGTCACCAACAACTTGTGCCTTTGGCTGGAAAAAAAAAAGTTAAAGTTTATGTGAAATTTCCATTATGCAATTACTAAAGACAAAAAAAAAAAGTGCTGAAGAGAGAAACGAACAAAATAATCAGTTATGAAAAACTATTCGAAGAATCAAGAAATAACGATAACAAGTATTCTAGAGAGGCATAAAAGCAAACGTATTCAAAGGAAAGCACTTCTGAGCTACCTGTAAAGTATTATCTTACATCTATTTTCACCACTTATCAAAATTTTGTGTAAAAAATTACCGTTCCAAGTTGCGTCGTTCTAATTTGTCGCACATCATTTTGTATTGCTTCAATAAGAGGTCGTAAAGCCGGATCTGATGTGGTGCCAGATGGAGATCCTACTGCACTTCCAGTACCCATTTTTTGCTCGAGATTATAAGTACGAGTGAAGATTTCATTTACATAGGTCTTCATATCACGTACATTAGATGTTAAATCTCGTAGTGACTATAAAACAAATATTTCGTAACACTCATTAAAGTTTTTTAGCACATATTGAATCAATCCAACTGAAGTAGATTTCATGAAAAGTTATCGAAAATGACAATGACCTGTAAAGCCTCATTCTTTTCATGTAACTGAAAACTTCCAGTATCGATAGCCATTTGACCTGATCCACCAAGTGCAGCTCCACCAGCTCTACCTGCACACTGTTGTATCATTGAAGATTGCACATTTTGTTGTTGACTAAAAGCATGTCTTAAAATAGTCTTCAATTTTCTACCAATTTCAAGCGTAAAAATATCACTTAATAATACCTAATATCTTGTAATCGACCTTCCAAATGTTGAAGAATTTGATGGATATTTGTTTGCATTTCAAGAATCATCCTCATTTCTCTTTGCGATGCATCTTCGTATATTTCAGCAATCTCCTCATCCAGTGTATCCGGTTTTGCTTTTTCTGGATGCTCTTCCTTATATCTAAAAAAAAAAAAAAAAAGTTTTTTTATTACACTTCCATTTTTCAAAAGAAATCTAATGAAGTATTGAAAAAGCAGAGTCAATTCATAAAATTAAAAATTTTGTTTTATACAACATCTATACTTTTGTCGTTCTTTTTCATATTCCTTCATCTGTTTTTCAAATTCGGCATCATATTTCTGTTTTTCTTCTTGCGGAAGAGCTGAAGCGGCTGGTGCTCTATCGGTATATAATGAAAAGACACTATACTCAACAATATCATGATCATCTGCTAAACCACCCGTAGCAGCGGAAATACCTGAAAATTCAAGATTTTCACTATTTTAACGAGAATAGTTTCGAAACCTATGAAATCACTACTTCATTTATAACGAAACATCAACCAACTCAACACAATTATCATTCTCTTCTTATAATTTGCAATACATACCGAAAAACCCGTTCTTCGGTAAAAATATATTTTCAGAGCGAATACATAATTCGTAGCGGGGTGTAGCCTGTAGACCATCGGATAATGATACAGTAAGAACATTATTAAGATATTCAATTTTCAAATGTACCGGATATGGTTTGTTACGAAAATCTTTTTGACAACCTGAAACATCAAAAATTTTAGTATTTTTAACAAAAAAAAAAAATACTCAAACAAACTTTTATGAAAATATTTTCATTAAGTGTAAATTACTGCAATTAATTTCTTTTCCAGAAATTAAAATGAAGTTCGAGCGAGAATTTACCTGAAAGCATTTGCTGCGACCCATCTGTCTGATGGTCATACTGCCTGGTACCATCGTTAATCATTAACGCCACGAATGGATTATTTTTCTGAGCATCATTATCAAATGAATCCAAGAAAAGCCCCATTCCTATCCAGTAATCATTTGCTCCAAATACCTGCAACAGAGATAAGTAATCTTCTATTGAGGTAGGGATGGCTACTGACATTACAAAAAGTATAAAAGAAAACAAATTCTGATGAGTGATACAACTAAACTCTTTATAGGGAACAAATAGGTAGACAAATGTACATTTTCCAGTAATTAAATAATGAGACAGAACTTCAGTGACCAGAAAATATATTGGTTAACTATTACTGAAATTAGCATCAGCTGTTAAGTATCACATGAAAATTCAGAGGCAGTAAGTTAGATCAATACTAATACCTTTAACTACTAATATAATTGAAATACATAAGATAGTTGCAGAAGTATCTACTTACAGGACCAAGAGTAGGTTGCTGAGCAGTATACCAGATAGCAATACCATCAGCACCAATACGACCTTGTCCAGTTACTCGAAAAGCCACTTGAACTTCAAAATGACTTGACTCAGCCATTACTCGTTTGTTCCATGCAAGTCCTAAAATTATTATATTCAACTAATCGTAACTGAGAGATCTAGCCATTCATTTCTCCTAATAATGATTAAATCATTGATATTACTAATCAATGTATAACTTTATAGCAAAAAAAGATATCATTTACCTTTCCGACTCCTCATCGATGGTGCTAATCGAAGTTGTTCACTGGATGCTACTGCATCACCAGTTATAGACCAGAATGGTATACTACCATCACGTAAACATAAATCAGGTGCACGAAAGCTATGTTTGTATTCAAAACGTCTTTGTACTGGTCCATTTACAGCTTGTGTTAGTAATGATAACCTATTTATTGTTATTAATGATAAAAATAATACGAGGGTACACATTCGGGTTGCCCTGAAAACTGAACAAATAATAATATTTGTGGTAATCATGCAAAACAATAGCAAAATTAAAAATTTAATCCGACGAATTAATTTAATAATGAAATCAGCAGTGGAAATTTAATATTTTTTGCTACATAGATAACACTACCAATTTCACACAACAAAAATGTATGAATAGAAAAGAATTGCAATTGACCTTTCTTCTGCTGAAATAAAGAGGTCAGGGATTTTCAATTTACAGTAATAGTCTTAGCTTTAAACCAATTCACCAATAACGGAAGGATAAAATTTAAGTTTTCATTACAAAATTTTAACTTGTATAACCATCAGAGAGGTATTTTTTGAAACAGATGATAAAAGAGGTAATTAAATAATATATATGTATGTATAGATCAATCGTCTGTAATACCACCTATATATTATATCAGTTTAAATTTAATAACTGAATAGCATAGCTTTGTATTCTATACTTCTTGATTGGATAAAGAGGAAAAAAGGATATATCAGTGAAATAAGGCAAAATATCGGAACAAACAAATAAAGTTCATTAGACAATTCCACACTTTCAATCGATTTTCCCATATTTTTCAGTCAAAAGCAAAAATTTTATAAGTTTCACTGACAATCAAATAATGATCTCATCTGAACGTCTAAATGACGTGTAGATAGATGGCAAATTATATCAAAAACAAACATTTTTATTCATTACTCTACAATTTGTATTACTATTCTATTTAATGCAACAATTTATCAAACATTTACTCGTGCTAACGCATACTATTTCATGTGAACCTATTTAAACACCAATAAAGCCAATAGAATACCAAAATATTAAAGGATGGTATTGAGAATATTAAATGGTACTCTCTTGTTCATATTGGTACTTCTTTCTCTTTCATTCGAATTTATGAAACAAAAATTGATTGAAAATAATTTGGCATTTGCATGACTATACAATCTATTGAAAAAGAAAAAAGGAATATCTAATATATAAGTGGTCCAACATGATCAGTATCAAAGGTGAAATTTTCGTTTTCTCAAAAAGAGATTTTATTTCTAAATAATTAAATCATAAAATACGTAATAATAATACAATTAATAACATAATATTAATGATAGCATGACAAGTTTACTGTGACACATACATTCTAATTTGTGAGAAGGATTACTCAATGTATACAGTGGTTCATTTAGGAACCAAATTTCAAACCGATACAATATATTTATCCTAGAATTGAAAAGTGCAAACAAACATCATAGCTTTCTAATCAATACTGTCAACAGTTCATTGAAATATTCAGATTTCCAGCTTATTAACAAACGCTCGCGACACAAGTAAACATATGACACGTTATAATGGGAGACATGGATAGGAAAATGGAAACAAAATATGTATAGTATTATGATGTCATGTGTTTGAAAAAAAATAAACGAACTAAAACTACCGAAAATGCTATGACAATAAAGTGAGACATAGCCTGCAGAGAACAATGTACAAAAAATCTATTAAAATAATACCTATACCTGTACTATAATGAATAATGTACACCCGAGATGTTAGAAAGGACGTTTTTCGAAAGAAAAGTATTCTTCATGTCAGAAAAACTAAACAAACAAAAAACATACTTTTCCTACAGAAACTGTTTTGAATGGAACTAATGAATACCTTAGTGATAGTTTAATTTATCCATTTGCTAGTTAGACTTTCAGCATTCCAATGGCCTGATTTAATTAAAAGAAAAAAAAGTAGGTGCTACGTCTTTTCGACAGTCCAGCAGCTTGCAATATGTTCTGCCTTTTAGCACCAGTATTACGTATCATATCATCAAGGTCAAATTTTGCGCAGAAATTTTCGTACTAGGCACACTTTTAATTGCTTAAACCACAATCGGCAGAAATGATTTCATTTGTATCACACTTATTTATTCTAATCAAAAATTTTCATATACCTAATTGTGACAAAAATAAGGCTTTAAAATTCAAAAAACGTCTGTAAAATATCAATTCCTGTAGAGCAACATTTCTCGAGCAACTGGTCCAACTATTCGAGCATATTCTTCCATAAAAGTTTCCGTTTCTTTAAAATCTGGTAGGGTTAACAAAAGTCGATAGGATAAAATATTCCTGGAAAGAAATTTGTTGATAATAATTGTTCATTGCATTTTTGAATGGTTGATCATTGTGAATCATTGTACACTTTCACATTACAATGGTTTAAGTGAAAGAGAATTAACTTACATTTTGTAAAGACATCTTACGGACTCTATTGGACACTTTTCAGCTACTGGAGCATCCGGAGCGAATGCTTCAATTCGCTCGCCATATCTCTCCATCATTTCCAAGCATTTTTCTAACGGTACCCACGTGAAACTACGATCGCAGAGCAAATCGGATGGATGGAAACACCGCTTGTAGCGCATTTTCTGACATGAATGGATATAAAATCCCATATAATAGTAATGCAGCTGTGGCCTTTCTTTTGCAAGCTCTTGAGTGAATGCAATTTCTCTGAAATATATGTAAATTCAAATATAAAAAATCGAAAATTCAAGGGTCTAGAAAATTTCATCAGAAAAATTCATAGACCTAGAAAACAGCTTGTCAGTGGTAAAAATTTCCTTCTAATCTCCAAGATTTCGGAAAAAAAACAAGTGATCAGAAAAGCTTTCCAACTCTCAAAAACAAACTTCACATTATCCACTCAGTTAAAATGTTGCATTTTGTTTACCCTCACTAGGTAATATAACGAGAGAACTTGTCAGCTTATGAATTACCATAAATGTTCCAAAATTCTACAATAGAAAAAGCAATTAAAGCACAAGATTTCAAGTTCACGATGCAATTTTATTATGATTCTCCGAATTACTTTATGTTGCTTTACGAAAGTCGTAAAGCAACATAAAGCAAGCTGAATTTAATTTGTTTTTATTTGAATATTGTCGACCCTGCACAATACATGTAAAATCTAAAAGTTCATAATCATACCGTAAGGCAGTGTATGTTCCAAGGGTGAGAAATTCATAGTCAGGATCGTAATAGAGATATTTGGCTGATAAGCAGCGTGGTAAAATATCTACAACACCAACAGCTATTAAACGACCGTCAAGGTAATACTGTTGATGATATGAACCAAGAGCCATAATCTGAAATCAATTCACTGATAGCTTTTATTATATTTCCCTTACCAATTTTTTAAGAATGACCGTAAATTCAGAAAATACTTTTGGAGTGCAAATTGGCAAGCAAGACAAAATTTTCCAGTGGTGTCTGTCAAAAATCAAAAAAGTAGTTTTATGAAGAGTGAAACGAAGCTATAAAAACGTAAGATCAAAAAAAAAAAGAAATGAATAAATAGCTTACCTTACTTTCGCCTTTTTCATCACTGAAAAGTGGTGAATCAGCAAGGAAAACCCGGTAGCCATTTCTATTACAACTAGTATTATGATGGACAGTTGTTTGGTATTTTTCGTACAGTTTGAAGCTTTCTTGGAAAGTCTCATGAAACACAGATGAGTTGACGTCAACCAAACGTACCTACAAAGAGCAAGATATAAAACTTCATATGCTTGGTTGAAAAAGAAAGGAAAAAAATGCTTTTAAATAAAGTTAAAAGTGAAATAAAACAATAATCATTGAAATCTGATAGTCTAATAAGAATTTTCAAAGTATCTGGAAAGAAGAAATTAGAAGTAAAAAAAAGTTTCAAAACAAGAAAATAAATTTATAATAATAAGATACTTCTAATTTATGTTTGAAAGTTTCCGGACTAGAACTGATAATGAATGAATTCAATGTTCTTCTCCGAGATTCTTCTTTTTCTCGACGTATTCTTTGAGCCTGAAATTACCAAAAAAAAAAAATTAGTTAAAAATTTCAAATCAAAAAATCAGCTCTTAATGTAACTTGTTCGATGACCTTAGAATCCGATGTAAACCAATTATAGAAAATATTCATAACTTTGTTTGATTCACACTGTAGTGTTTTAAACACAAAATTTAGTTCTGTACGCTCATGTAAAAAAAAAAAAAAAAAGAAAATCATTATTTTCAGCAACAATTAAATCATTAAAAATTCCATTTGTAAACTATGTGCAATTTATATTTCATCAATTTGGCAACAATAAAAAATCCGAGATGAAGAAAATCCAAACCTCCATGATACTGATACCTTTGTCACGCATTTTTTGAAAAGCTCTTTCTTGCCTAAGAACTTTTTTCTTCTTTCCTTTTTCCCGTAACTCATCATTCGGTGTTTTTTTCTCATTATCTTGGGCTCTTCTGACTTGAGAATTTGATGAAATTGTGCTCCTTTCACTCGTTTTTTTCACTACATTATAATCTGTTATTTTTTGTCGTTCGTTCGGTCGAACATCTTTCTGAAGGAAATCATTCATTCGACGCAACACCTTTTTCTGTGCTCTTGACAATCGGAAACTGTTGACATCAAGTCTGAAATTAAATTTTCCAAACATTAAAACTAACTTTACAACGCATCGAATATCTTCAAGTACCAAACATGATCAAAGTATGTTGTCTAAAGAAAGGAAAAAAAAAAAAAAAAAAAACATTCTAGAATAGACACCTGATTGTATATTGTGGACAGCATGTATTAGCTATCATCGGCTTGTACAAATACTTACCAGATCTGAAAATAAAAAACTGCTTAAATGTACCACAAAGCTAAAGATTCAAAAATGATACCTTCTGATCCCTCTATCAAGTAATTCGTTATAGTGCGACACAGAAAGACTGCGTGCCCACATACCTGAAATTTGGGGCCTAGATTTCAATAAAAGCCACAGGACTTTGATAATATATGAAAAACTCTTCAAAAACAAAAGTAACTTGATTTGCTTTGTACCAATGTTCCATAATTCAAAAGTAGATATTAGTCAAATTTCCTTTGGAACAAAGCATTTCTGTCACTTTTGTTTTATTTGTAGAATTACCGGTTACATCCTCTATCTAGGAGCTGATTAAAGTGCTCGCATGACAGATAATAGCCCATAACTCCTGCAATATTCAATGAGATGCTTCATGGTCATTTTAAAGTAATAGTTCTTTCATTACAAACAAAAACTCATCAAATGTTAAACTAAAAAGCAGAGACATAGAAATTTTTAAGGAAAAATAATGAACACAGAGTTGATCAAAATAATTCCAAAAATGAAACAAAGTGAAATACCAATATTGGTTGGACTTGCTTCCTCTTTGTGACAATAACCGCACATCCCACCACCATTATAACCAATGTACTCAACAATGGAATATTGTTGCTGCTGCTTTTGCACTGCGACATCACTTATATTTGACATTCTTAAATATTCCTGTTTGAAATATACATTACATATATGTTCAATGCCAGAACATACAACAGCTGCATGCTGGCATAATGGTATCATGTATGAATCGAACAAGCGAAATGTCTATCAGTAACATTTAAAGAACACTAGTTATCATTTATTCCTATTTTCAAAATACAATCACACCAAATCAAGAATCTTTTTTCTCTTGTTTCTTCTCTTTTTCTTTCTTTCGCGATGTACGTTTCTTCAGCGATAGTTCCTCTTTCTCCGTTAATTTGGCTGCCTGTAAACTCTCGTTTACTTTCAGTTGATAGTTCAACTAAGGAAATAAAATAAAGATGCAAACAGAACACTCAAAATATTTATCAAGGAAGATGAACTACAATATTCAGAAAATTAATATTTTGCTTTCATTAATGAATGTAAAACTCTCGCAACATTTCCGGATATTTATTTTCAAATGAATGTAATTACTAACTTTCTTCTTTGTTTCAATCATTTTTTCAAACAATATTGGAAATCGTGGATCACTGGGCAAAATTTCATAGCCATAATAATCAAGCATATCTTTAGCTTGCTGCTCCGCTTCTAATTCCTGTTTTGATTTCACCGGAACCACCTCTTTTTGACTCTCCAAAAACTCTCGCAACATTTCCGGATATTTATTTTCAAGCGCTGCCACTTCCTTAAGCCTGAAATGAACAAAACTTAAACATGATTCATCCAAAGGCCATGAATTTTACAAGTTTTACAAGCCTATACGAACAAAAAATATCTCTATTCTGTAATAATAGACGTTCCCAAAGCATGATTACCTTGCCAAAGTATTAGCATGTTCTGACTTCTTCGCATTTTCAACAGCTTTTAAGGCATCACTGTACTTCGCATACCATCCTATAGCTTCTTCTTCCTGAATCTCCTACAAATGATTAATCTTACTGATATGCATTATTTGTCTAATTACTTCCTCAGTGCAATTACAAAATGTTTTTAAAATACCTGGCAGAATAATCTCAAGAGATAATGAATCAGCAAAATAAAAATTAAATTTCGCTTTAAAAATGATAATGGTTAAGCAAAGTTTAAAGCAATTCACTCTACCAGTAATGAATACATAGTCAAACATACAGTATTTCTTGAATATTATTTCTTAGTGACATTCCTAAATTTTTTTTAAAAAAAAATAAATTAGCCATGAATGCAATCCTCACTTCAACACTGGGCCATAATTCTTCAGGTTTAACACCACTGGCCAAGCCATAAGTACCGAAACGTTCACGTTTTGCCCATAACTCTTTCTCCCATTCATAAGTCACAGGTGGTAAACGACCTTCAGCAATTAAACGATGCCTTTCGGTCAACCTGTAATTAAAGTAGTACTCACTAGCTTGACTAAAACGAATAATTAAAATCAAAAAAATGAGAAACACAATAAAAGCGGAAGGTGAAAGGTCAAATTTAAGAGTACCTTGACACAACTTTAGTATTCTTATTCTTGCACTGTTCCTCCTGTAAACTTGATGAACTATTCACAGCATCTGAAGTTCCTGCTATTGCTGTCGTATCCAGAAAGGATGAATATCGAATTACACCCATCATTGATAATCGGCCATACTGAATCATTCCAGTTAGATTGGAAAATTACGAATGCAGAATAATGATAATAGTCTGAAAATATATTCCGGTTATTACCTGGAACAAAATAACAGTTACCTAACTAACTAATAACACTCATTTTACAACTGTTGGCTACTCGGCCCGAATCTGTCACTATGCTATGTTTTGAAAGAATTTTGTTATCTTTCGAGAATGACAATTCGGGATAGCTTAGCTTCACTCACTCCTGTTAACTTATTGAAATTATATTTAACCTTCTTTTTCTACATCTTACAAATAATCCAGTAGAAAAAGATGTGATAAAACTGTAATAAAACTCAGCACTATCAAATTCTAATTCACAGCTAGAATTAGACTTACTTCAAGTGGAATTTTTTTTCCTATTATTATTTGTCATTATAATTATTATTAAAAAGAAATATTTATGTACATTATGTTTTGAGGGGGTCTCTTATGACTGATGTTGAAGCCACCAAAGTGGCTTTGGTTTTTGGATTTAACTGTTGGTGTTGTATTCGTTTCCGGTATTGCATCATTTGTTGTTTGGCGACGTTCGGAAGATTTTAGAAAGAGTACTTTCTCACGTGTACCACGAATTGCTGATTATTTTTATAGGGTTTTCTTTCTTTTTGTTTTTCTTTTTTCTTCCTAATATTATCATCTTTATTAATTTTTGACTTTTTATTTCCGTAAAATGAAATGTTATTATTATTGGTATTTATTTAAATTTTGGGGTTTTTTTTTGACACATTCTTGAATTTGATTTCCAGGCAGAAGATATAATTGGTGGACAACTTCGAGGCACACGTTTAAAAAGAAAAGATTACCACAAGTGGTTTCCGGAAGAAGACGACAAGCAGTGACTTCTTCTAAATTCTCAACATGATAATTAAGCTTTCTCATGTTAAAGCTTTTATGCTTCCTGTTGGTCTTGTATGTAAGTAGCAATCACTTAATTTGCATATTCTTATAAGTGACCGTGCAAGGATTCAAATTTCTACTTGAATCTCACGTCCTATCTTACGTTCATTAAGGAATTCGATAATTTACTTTCATCTAGCAAAACTAACAATAGCAAGTAATATCAGCCATTTCCTCGAGAAAACAAGGTAAATAATGAAATGGGGAATAGATTGGTCACTTTGAGGGAATTGAAGCTTGCTAAAAATTCTTGCTTCGAAATAGACTATTTGAAAATATTTCAGCTGTTGTAATATCTTCTCTGGCATATGATAACTGGAAGAAGAAGCAGCCTCCAAAACCAATACCAATTCAAAGTTTGGACCGTTTTGAAAAAATGATGGAATCTATGAATGGATCTATGATGCGACCTAAAACCAACAACTAATTCGATTAGCTTTGTTACATAACATAATATGTAGAACCGTGTATATTTCTCTACTTATCAAAGTTGTCAACTCTTTAATAGCATTATATCTAATTATCAGGTTTTCCATAGAACAGAAATGAGGAACAATGGCTTATGCTTTGATGATTGATCGGTTGAGATTTACCCAGAGTTTTTACTATTTTTATTAGAAGAGAAAGAGGAAAATCCAATTTTTTGGGTGTCATAGTTAGTATTAGAGCTTTATGTTCTGCTTTGCAATGTAAAATTCTGCTTTTTGATTGTCAAATTATTTATGAAAGGTCAAAACTTTTTGTGAAATATTTTTTAGAGAATAAATTTATCCTTTGCTTCTGCTGCTTGTTGTTGGAAGATGAGAAAGAAAAGTGAAATTTCAGTTAATATTCATTCAGTTCTTGCATGATTTTTTTAATAATAGTGGCATTTAGTAGGTAATAGAATAGTACTTCACCAAGGAATAGCGGGTTTTATTGAATTCTTTTAAAAACTGATCGTGGTAAAGAGAAATGAATTTTGCAGCATTTTTGATAGTTCTTGAAGTGGAAGTGAATTTGTTTTGAAGATGAGCCTTCCCAGGAAAGTACCTACTCCAACACCACCTGCAAAAGGATCCTTTCCACTTGATCATGAAGGACATTGCAGATATGAAATGTTGAAATATATGCTTTGCTTAAATGAACATGAGGTAGGCGATGGCTGAGTACTATTTTCTGATTTTTTTAATTTCACATTTTCTAATTCTTGGAAATCAAGAAAATTTTCAACCTTTATTGCATCATTTCTTTTTCCAGCAAAGAATTGGTGAGTGTCGAGACTTTGCAAAAGTTTATTTACAATGTCGCATGGACAACGGATTAATGCAACAGGAGGAATGGAAATATCTCGGTTTCTCAGATCAGAATGAAACGTAACTATGAAAATTTTCATCTTTTAATGTGGTTCTCAAACATGAATCGGCTTGTTTCATTTCTAAAAATATGCAAGACTGATCACATACATACCGCTGATACAATTGCTTACCCTATAAAAGGTCTTGCAAAATTTTTGCATTGAATTTGCTAAGAAATGTTTTATTAGAAGTTTATAACATTTAGTAAAACAGGAAAAAGTTGAAGTAATATTGAGATCAACGCGATTTCTGTATTTTTTCGTTAGATGGAGCGGAGGAAATTATAGTAGCTTTTAGCTGTTCGTCCTTTTAAAGTTGGTTTTTACAGAATAAGCGAATTACTTAAGTGAACTAAAAACTCTGCTAGTGAGATTAAAGAATTTTCTGTTTTCTTGCAACACTGTTTTTTATGAATGAGTCCATATGTAGGAATATATACAGTTTATAGGTTTATTTATAGTAATTCTTTCAAAATTAATTTATTGTTATGTAAAGTGTAGTTGTAGTTTAAACAAAATAATGAATGGAAATGGGTGGGGAGAATTGGTAATTAATTGTAGACTTTTAAATTTTCTGGAAATTGTGATGGTAAAATATTTCAAGCGAACATTTCGAACTACTGATAGAAATTTCTCTAAAGTAATTCAAATAATTCTGTGAGTGTAACTTTATTAACCAGTGTATAACTCACAGCAAAATGACCAGTTAATTTATCGTTATAACATCATATTTATAGCAAAAAACGGCATATAATTTTCGGTAAATTATTTGATTAATTAAAATTAATTTTTTCTATAATTTCGATTAAAATAATTAGTTATAAAATAAATGCATAGTGGTTACATATACGTCCAGTGATGCTTGTTAATATGTTAATTTATCACTTTTTATCCTTCGATTTTGGCTATTTCTTTGTAAATTTTAAAATTAACAAAGAAACTTCCAGCAGTTTGATATAATATTGTAAATTTCGGAATAACGCTATTCATGAATCTTATAATGTTATGTTTAATTCAGTCTAGTTATTTAACATTTTTACTAGAAATATTCATTGATAATTTCTTGTAATACTATAACCTTTTTATCTTAGTTGTGTTGTTAACATTTCGCTAATTGCTTTAGAATATGTTTCAAATTTTGACTTCCAATTCTTCTATTGGAAAAAAATTTGTAATAATAAAGACATATCCATATGATTTTAAAGCTTCAAATGGACATTGTTCTTGTTAATATTTGCAATAACTAATTTAGATTTTACTTACAAATGTTCAAAAATAAAATATTTTATAAAAAATAAATGTTAACTGTTACATAAATATGAAGAGTCAAATTTATCGGATGAAATGAAAGCTTGATTTCATTTTCGTTATATTCAAGTGGAAATAACTGCACTCATCTTTTTCTGCAATTCAGGATGGTGCTGCAAATTGCATGTTATACATGCATGCAGCATGCAAAATTGGAAAGTTTTCTGATAGTTTTACACATTTAAGTGCTAATATAAATAATATAAATGAAAGAAATGAAATTATGAGAATTGTTAAGTGAAAAAAGAGAAGAAAAAAAAAAATGAAAATAATAACTCTTATCTCTTTTAGCAACAGCTGATATTATCTGAGAAGCATCTGTCATCTTTTCCGCATTCAATTGCAATGGTTGTCGCTGTTAAATTGCATAAACTGGTAGCAAAACTTAAAATTCTGATAAGTCATTGTCATATTTCATTTTTTTTTTTCATGTCTATCTCTAATGATAAACATCGAAGCGCATTTGTAAACTGAAACAGAAGAGACTTGTTTTAATGATATTTGAGTATTCCATCAAATTCTTGTTCAAATGCACTATTAGTAGCATTTTTAGTTTCATTTATAGATAGATTGATTCAACTAAAATTAATGTGCAATAATAAAGTCAAAAACATTGCGGAGATCTCGTTTCTCGAAAAGAAAAAAAAAAACAAATAAATAAATAGGTATGAAGAATTACTAATTTTTTTTAACTGTGTGACTTTGAAGTTCATTGTTATTGGTATTGAAAACACAATCAAGCTTCTAAATTTTAATGGGTCGATTAATTTGCAAAACTTTCACTTGTTTTTTTTTTTCTTTTTCTTTTATAATTTCAATCATCTCGTCTTGTTTACTTGTTTACTTGTATTTATTTATAAAAATGTAATTTGCCCATATTTTGGCATACATTTATTAGAATATTTAACTGAACATTTCAATTTCTCTTTCTACTGTAAACAATGTTATTTTTTTCTGAGAAGCAGTGGACGATCAAAAAATGATATTTTGATATTTTTGTAATCGATAGTTTAAATCAAAAATTAATTGATAATCGTTTTGATTAGTCATTACTGAAAAGTTATTGATTGCTGGATGAGTACATTATAATATTTTTGGGTAAAACGATGAAATGAAATTTTAAAATAATTTTACTATTTGCATAATTATTTTAAGATTTGATACACAAAATGATAATTTAGTGAAATTTACAAATAAATATTTATCCAACTTGCTGTCATTTACAGAATTAACAAACAATAATGCATTAATGAGTATGCTTAATTAATTTTTATAACTTTCTACCTTAGTAAAAGATGAATTTTACATTTGAAATCATTTTGTAAACAATAAACAATAAAGAAAATATTGTCAATAAGCAATGAAAAAATGTTATTTAAAAATGTTTCGGAATATTGTTTACTATTCCACCTAGAATGAGTGATTGCATTTTGCTGCAACTATTCAAAATATTTAAAAATATTTTTCTTATAATCAATCATATCTCATAGTAAAAAAAAAGAAAAAAGAATTTTGATCATGAAAGCAATTTCAAATTATAAAGCTATATTTTCAATAGAGAGAGAGAGAGAGAGAGAGAGAGAGAGAGAGAGAGAAAGAAATATCCATCGATAATGACTGATACTTCCAATGCTATATGGACTAAAATTATATTTCATACCTATAAGAACAATTTGTGAAATTGAACCAAGCAAGGACAATTAGCAGAGAGGATAATTGGCCATGCGACAGTATACTTCCTCAATTTTATGCCTAATTTTAGCTATTTGTCACCGCTTCTAAGAAAAGAGAGTTCGGTTATGCAAATGGCTTGTAGCTAATTCAGAGAGAACTAATTTTATAACTATTTTTATCTTATTGTTTCGTATTATCACATTCCTTATCATAATCTACTGATAAAATATTTACAATCGCTTAGTGATAAGAATATATCATTAATCTAAGATTTAAAAAAATTTATAAATTTTTTTCATAATTAGATTAAATCGATCTTTTGTAGATTTTATTATGCAATTTTGCAAAAAAAAAAAAAACATTCTAATGGTTAACATTTTTCTTATTAATAAAAAGTTTTCTTTTCAGATTTTTTTTTTTTTTTTTGCAATGAATATAAGTGAATTCCGTCAGTATGGTAGACAGATGATTGATTTTATAGCAGATTATTGGGAATCGCTCCGAAAGAGAACTCCGTTACCGGATGTGAAGCCCGGATTTATGAATAAATTGGTACCATTATTGTTTTATAGAAATAGCAAACCATGAAGTATGGTTATGGGCAGAAAGAATACTTTACAGAATTCCGGGCATCTTATTATTTCCTTTTAACACAATGTATTGCAATTTTTGTGAAATTCCATTAAAATCGTTTGAACACCTTATCTGAGGTACCGCAAGATGTTCCTGTCATGGGTGAATAATTTGAGGTACCGCAACATGCACCTGTCATGGGTGAACCGTGGGAGAAAATCTTCAATGATATCGATGAAGTGGTCATCAATTATAACACCCACTGGCACCATCCTCATTTTTTTGCTTACTTTCCAACCGGTATTTCTTATCAGTCTATCATGGGCGATATCCTTAGCGGTGGAATCGCAAGTATTGGATTTAGCTGGGTAAGTTAAACTATTTAAATTAAGTAAATTAAGTTTCAGTTCAGTTTTCACAGTTATGTAAATATTATAAACGAAATAGCATAATTTTCCGGAATTTCTAATTCAAGTAAAAATAGCCATTGATTGATGGCATATAAAATTTCTAGCAGTCATCACCTTCCATGACAGAACTCGAAATTTCAATGACAAATTGGCTAGCTAAAGCACTAGAATTACCGGCAGAATTCCTGAACACCGAGAACGGACCCGGTATAGGAATCATTCAAAATACTGCTAGTGATGCAACTTATTTGGCAATATTAGCAGCCAGAGGACGAGCTGTAGAAGTATTATTATTTGATGAATAATTAATATTTTCATTTTATCTTTTTTTAAACTAAACTCAAATGTTTTTTTTTTCTCTCTCTCCCTCCCTCTCTCTCTCTTGTAGAATCAGAATCGATTGCAGCACAAATTTGAATTGAATTTTGAATCTGAATTAAATCAATTGCAACAATTGCAAATATACTTTTTCAGCGTATCAAAGTATCCGAAGACAAAATCATTGGTCAAGAATTGCAAGTTATTTCAGATGGCACTGGTGAATTATGTTATTATTCATATCATGATGCGACAATTATAAGCAAATTAGTTGCTTACTGCTCGGATCAGGTAATCCTGAAAATTTGACATTAAGAAAAATAATTTAGAGAAAGTAAAAAAATTGAACGGACGAGAAAAGGCATGAAGAGAAGCAAAGAAAATTGAAATGAAAAGAAGGATGTCTCTTTTCTTTAAAAAAATTAAAAAAAGAAAAGTATTTTTTAAAAAAAAAAAAAAAATTATTTATTTGCTAAATAAATTCTATTTAAGGCTCATTCATCAGTGGAAAAAGGTGTTATGTTAGCAGCTATGCGCTTACGAAAATTAAAAACTATACGTGGTGGACCTTTTGATAATTTTTTTGTCAATGCAGAAACTCTTGAAAAAGCAATAATGGTGAGTTTGAAAAGTTAAGGAATTATGGATTTGTTTATTTTTTTTTTTTTTTTTTTAAGGTGTTTAATTATTATCTAATTTGAACTCTCAATTGCTAAAGGATTTTTAACTTGTAAACATGAAAGAAGGAAACAAATAAACAAAAAAAAAAAAGTGAAACTTCAAGATTGATCGTCAGAATGGTTTGGTACCATTTATATTCATTATGACATTGGGTACCACATCAAGTTGTGGAATGGATCCGATAGATAAACTTGGACCAATATGTAAGAGAGAGAACATTTGGATACATATTGATTCTGCATATGCTGGTAAAGTTATTTAAATTAATTTAATTAATTTCAAAAAAAAAAAAAAGTTAAAGTGCAAATTAAATTAAGAAAAAAAAAATGAACTGAAAACTGTTTTTATTTATTTATTTTTTGGTATCGTTGCTATTCCTTCTATTTAAAATATATAATATTAATTTAAAGTAGAAAGTTGAAATTGAAGAGAATATTGCAGGCGCATTTTTACTTTGTCCCGAATATCGTTATTTATCTCGTGGATTTGAATACATTGATTCTTTCAATATGAATGCTCACAAAGCATTACCAATAAATTTTGATTGCTCTCCGATGTGGTATTTATTCTGTTAATTGTCATTCTAATAATTATGACAAATAAATTTTGGAACAAGCATATAATAACAATAGTGATAATAATAATAATAATAATAATAATAATAATAATAATAATAATAATAATAATAATAATAATAATAATGATAATGATAATAATAATAATAAGTAATAATAATAATAATAATAATAATAATGATAAATAATCAAAATCTTTTTTTTGGATGAGAAAGTAAAACCAAAAAAGAAAAGAAAAAGCATCTCTGATACGTTTAAGAAATTTGAATTAATAAGAAAATTTTATTTCTTTTATTTCTTCTAAAATTTATGAGAAATTCGAATTTTAGGTTTAGAAATGGGAAAGAAATATTGAAATACTTTGCAGTAAATCCGATCTATTTAAAATATAATCAAACTTGTGCAACTGATTATCGAGTAATTTCTCTTTTCAATCATACAGTTTACAATAATAAGAAATATAAAAGAGTAATGTTTGAGATTTCAGATTAAGTGTCTTTTTATTTGTAATTTGAAAAAAGAAAAGAATAAGAATAGCTTTACAAATAATATTTTTTTATTATATGTTTTAGCCAAAATCATAATTTACTTATTATCTATTAAAAGCTCTTAGCTATTGTGTTTTACTGCCACTTTTATTAAGATTTTATCACGGAACACAACTAAGCTTTTATATATTCTTTTACATATTCTAACTGATAGTAATTGCTTGGAAGAGTTAAATTTAAAATTCAATTTTAAATGTCCTTTAAAGATTCAATAGTGCATTGACTGTATTTAAAGGAAGTATTGTAAAGAAAAACAGATTAAATCCAACGATGCTTTTTAGATTATAATTTTAGCATTTTCAAATAGCTCTTGGAAGAAGATTTCGATCGTTGAAAGTATGGTTTGTGCTACGAAATTTTGGCATTTCTGGATTGCAGAAGCATTTAAGAAAGGTTTCACTTAAAATTTTCACTTCTGTATGATTCATTTATCCTTCTGAAGGTCAATTTCTTCCTTCCTTTCAGTTGTTAATAATTTTATAACAATCATCCTAAATGACAGATGATTGACCTGGCAAAGAACTTCGAAGCACTCATCCAAGAAGATCAACTGCTTGAACTATTCGTACCACGAACTTTGGGAATGGTATGCTTCCGTTTAAAGGTTTGTTATGTTTCAAAAGAATTTCCAGTCGAATTTTCAAACAATAAAATCGTATTTGCAAGTTATGCAAAATATATTATTATATGTTCATATAGGATTCAACAAATGAGATGAATGAGGAACTAAATCGTAGAATCAACGAAGATCGTCGTATCCACCTGGTAGCTTCCGTTGTTCACGGAATTTATTTCATACGTTTTGCAGTGTGCAGCACATTAACCACATATGAAGATATAAAACAAGCGCACTCGATCATTCATAATTTTGCTAAAGATATACGAAGAGATGCGAAAAAAATATTAAAATGATATGAAACAATACTTGTCGTGAAGTTCAAATATAAATGTATGTTAATTATCTGTTACTTCACTAAGTTCTAAAGATTGTATGGAACACAGAAAACCAAGTTATGCACATGGAAGTGCATTTACCAATATTCCTTCTAAGTAAATGTTGCCAAGAAAAAGCTTGATCTTCACATCCAACAAAATTTTGGATTTATTTTATTTCTTTATTTTCGTCAATAGTCTATAGAACCAAAATCAGCATTTCAATACCAAATGAAATTGAAACTTCAACAGAACTAGAAATTTCCACAGTTTTCTTTTAATGGCAATACTGAATCACCTATTCTCTCCAGCTCCCCAGAACTGATGCAATCAAACTGTGAATTAAAAACTGAATGTAAACAATGTTACCTTTATCAGAAAAATAACAAAAATCACTTTTCAAAACAAAAAATCAAATCATCTTCTTCAGCAGTGCATTTATCTGATCTTCACGATTACCGAAGTCACCACCTTCAACGAAATGATTTGTCTTCTTCGTCCAGCCACCTGACGGATTATTCAATTTGAAAGGCCATAGGAAATTGGTAGCACGCTTGAAATAGGGACCCACACTGAAGATATGATGCACAAGGTCTTCCATACAAATTATATCACATTTTCCTGAAATTTGTTGATAAAGAAAAACAAGAGAAAAATTATTCCAAACATTTCGATGTATTACCTCCAATATTACGAACCCACAATGTGATATATGTATTACCTCCAGTATTACGAATCTTTCTGAATCATTTTCCGTAACTGGTATAAGGCAAAAAAAAAAATCATCTTTGATATATATCTACAGCCTGTTTAAGATTTTGGAATCTTGAAATCAAAATTACTGATAAAAATATATGTACATAACTCGAAAACTTACCAAGCGCACTTTCAACAATAGAGTTGTCCGTAATTGGTATACGTCGACCATTAATTTTCGCGTAACCACGCTTATAGATTAGGTCATGAACCGTTTTCATACTTGGATATCCCCATGCAACATACGGCTCCACAATACGCAACATTTGAAGAGTAGCTTTGTTCAGTTTGATAAAAACGCCATTGTTTATTTGTCGTAAACGGAAGAGTTGCAGAACCTTACGCGGTCGTGGGTGCATTTGGTTGATACCACGAATTCGGATTACGAATGCAAGACGGGCTTCATCAGGAACATAGAAATTGCCTGCTTTTCTAGCTTCACGCTTTAACTGAATTTCTTGTCGCACACGTTGTCTGTGTTCTTTTACATATTTTTCAGCACGCTTGAAAATCTCAAGCTTCTTCTTTCTCGCCTTCTGAAAGAAAATGTGTTGTTCAAGTGCTCCAACGTACGCAACATCACGTAGGGACGCAGAGCTTTTAAACAATTATAAGAACTAAAGAGAATATATTCATGCAAAACACTAGGCAAATGAAAAAAAATTCAGCAAACATTGTTTTAATAAAGCAATAACAAACCAAAGCAAGCTTGGCTTTCCTGACATTCACTTTAGCTCTTTGCTCTGCACGCCGTTTTCTTCGTTTTAGTATTGTCTCCGGCACCACAGGAAGCTTCTTCCTAAAATTTCACAATTAAAATATGATTAATACAGATTAGCCGATGGTCTATAGTACTATAAAGTATCTTTAATGAAAATAGTAGTACAGTACTGACTATAGTAGTACAGTACTGACTACTGACAGAATTAATTTCTTCACCTCATTTCACCACTAATGATTAATTAATTTTGAAATCCCTAATACAACAACCATATTTCGATTATCTGTCCATTATTTGTTTAGCTTTATCCTGATTTATGAAAAACAACAACCAATGAATTTCTGCTCTCTTAATTAGGTTAGTTATTGCGAATAATGACTAAGAATATAAAAATGATTAAGAATCTTTTTTAATTAACTCTTTTTCCAATCAAAGAAATGTTAAAAATAGAAAGATACTAACTCAGTTGTGGTCGACGTGTCTCCCATGTTATCCTGAAACCAAAAAAAATCAATATAGCATACTTAAGACAACAATACACTCTCTGCACTCGAACAGTTTCCACCTCTCCCGCGACAGATGGAAACATTTCCTCCCAATTCATTTCCCAAAAACCAGAACTGTCAAAGTGTTACAATGCAACAAATATGAAAATCATTTGTCTCTTCCACTGAAAATGATACCGTACTTTTTAATTTTAAGATGGAAGAGGAGCTGCGATAACTTATGGAAGAGGCCAAATAAGTAAGAAATTGTTGACTTTAATATTTAAAAAATGTTTTAAGATTAGCAGGAACACTTTTATCTTTTATAGGGCAATTCTTTAAGCTTATAATTTCTCATAATGTGTCATCATGACCTTTTTGTGAAATCATTAATATGCCTATACACATCTAATCATTAAATTAAATTAAATGCCTTATCTCTTATCATAGAGCCTTGCATTATGCTCCATAACATTCATTCAATGATTGTTAGATTTGTTTGTTTTATTTGCTGTAATTTAAAGTGAAAATGTTGAGTAGTTTGTAAGTGATATTTGTCATACGTTTGAAATGAAATTCGATTAAAACACTTAGTTTCTCTCACCGGAAATGTGTTTTAATTGTTGATTGATGTAACAATTTACTCATCTTTCTTTGGCCTTATTTCGAAGAGAATTTTGATCATTTTGAAAGAGCGCTCGTGAGAATGTCTACAACAGTTTTTGCCTGATTATCTGTCCGATCGATGACATCTCAAGCAAGAAGAGAGTGTGTTGTAAACTGGCTGGGTCGGGTCAAGTCGGGTTAAGTTGAGTTGGGTTGGGTTGGATTGGGTTGGGTTGAATTGGGTTCCGTCAGGAGTATCGATGCATAGCAATGCGATAGTGATGTCGCAGTGATAATATGACATCCAGCATACAGATCAATTTGTATTTGGTAAAATAAAGATTTACTTATCACATAAGCAAAGAGATGTTCTTTTCTTTGAATTATTCTCTTATCACTGATTGCTATGTTTATTTCTTTGATAAATAAGATAAATGCTCTGTTTATCATAGTACAGAATAGTAATACAATTATTGATTAATTGTGAGCGATTATTGATTGATTGTCTGCGATTATTGATTCATTGTCTTTTGTGTGATTGCTTGGCAACCATTTGTTTAACTAAGCATAAAGTGGACTATTTAGCAGATAATATTGTTATTGTTCACTGAGATATCTACTCTGAATATCTTTACTTATTCAGTAAAAGGTAAGTAAGTTTCTTAAGATTTTTTTTTTAAGGCTATTTTGTCACTTAAATATCAATTATTAGATATTTTAGATAATATAAGGATTAATATAAGGATAATATAAGGTTCTTCTGTTCAGTAGATAATATAAGGATTAATATAAGGATAATATAAGGTTCTTCTGTTCAGTAGTGTTTACGTATGGAAAGCATAAAAAGCATAATTTTCCATTTTCCCTATCAAAGAGTTTGAAAAGATTTTTAATGAAGATGGTCTCTTTTTATTCAATAAAGTCTAGAATAGAAGAAAAATAAAGATATTTAAAAGTTTGCTTTAATATCACACAGTTCAGCTATTACCTGTACATTTATATTACCTGGTCAGGACACAAGCAGACAAAAGTATTGTACAACGCATATTTTATTGCTGTGAAAGCTTAGTTGAAACAAACATCTGTATCCGTTGTTCAGTAAAAATTAGCGATTTTGTAAATTCGAGAGAAAGTTATTTGATGGCAAAATTTAGATAAATGTTATGAGGTCATTTATTGTTTGTTTTTTTTTTTTTTTTGCCTAGCTTTTAGTATAGATAACATTATTTACTATTCGTGGCGTGTTTTAAATTGTATCAAGATGAAGCGCAAAATGTCACAGATTAAAACAACAAAAGAAAATTGCAATGTGAAATTTGTTTTGCTGGGCGTATTTTTAGTAGGTAGTAGTAGTTGTTGTACTTATATCTGAAATATTTGTTGACAGAAAGCTATTCAAATACATCTTCATTTCATTGGAATTCGTTTTTTATTTTTTTAGTTTTAATTAAATAGAGCTCTATATTAGTTGAACCAGTATTTTGCTCCTGCTCTGTTTTAAGTACTTTGTGACAGAAAAGCTTATCTGTTCGTTCGTACAGTTTGTTGCTATCATTATGTTTTTGAGAATTTCAAGAAAGAAAGAGAAATATTTCCAACTTTTGGTCACTAATGCTGTGATTTCATCCACTAACTTTTGTGTGTACTTTTTTTTTTAGTCCACACTTTTCGATTAATAATTTTGATTTTGACTTCAACAGGAAGCAGTCGTTATTTCCATTAAGTTCATTAAATTATATGAATCGTATTGGAGTTTTCAGGAAAAAAAGTATTTTGTGTTAGTGATCAAGAAATATATGAGAGGGTAAAAAAATGGATGAATTACTTTACTTACTGGTGATCATATAGACTGCAGTACGTGATAATATCTTTTTCGTCAATTCATTTTCATCGTTTACTTCATATAAAGTTTTTTTTATTAACGCTTGTTTATCGTTGCTACTGTTTCTAGAATATCGATAGAAGTATGGGTTCACGTGATGATGAATACGATTACTTATTCAAAGGTTTGTGTTTTCTCTCAAAATTTTCGCTTCTGATTAAGGAAACTAAAAGTACCAGGATATAAGTTTTATTAAATAAATTGAATGTTGTGTTTCGTCCTTGACTTCATCATATCATTTATCTTTCTGTAACAGTATTTGCAGAGATTGTTGTACTTTTTGGGGGGACATGAACCAATTAAAGAAGATGATGCTGAAGCTATTGTAGGGACATCTTATTTCAATATTCTTATTATATGCCATGTTATTGGGAAAAAAAAGTAATATTTCCCATGCTTAGCACAGATTTCTATTGTAGTTGTGTTGATTGGCGATTCTGGTGTTGGCAAATCCAATTTGCTATCACGGTTTACCCGAAATGAATTTAATTTGGAGTCGAAGTCAACAATAGGCGTCGAATTTGCGACA